CAACAATTATATAAGTGGATATCAACCTCCACGCTATAATAAGTTGAGAACAAGCTTACTCCAAATGGAAAGAAACCATGTAGAGAGGCTATTGGAGCCAATAAAAAATACATTGAGTCAAAAAAGTGTGAGCATTGCTAGTGATGGATGGAGTGATCCCCAAAAAAGGCCCTCTCATTAATTTTATGGTTGTAATAGAGAGTGGACCTATGGTTATAAAGGTTATAGAATGATCAGATGAGATTAAAGACAAAGATTTTATAGCTAAACAAATGAGAGTTGTAATTATGGAGGTTGGACCCTCAAATATTGTACAAATTATGACTGATAATGCACTTGTATGTAAGACAACAAATTTAATGATTGAGGCTGATTTCCTTCTATTTAATGGACTCCTTGTGTTATACACACTCTAAACCTTATTTTGAAAAATATATGTGCAGCTAAGAATACAGAAAAAAAAAATGTTGCTTATCAAGAATGTTCTTGAATCACTACAATAGCGGAAGATATGTTCATAAAAAACTTGATCATGGGTCACACTATGAGGTTGTCCATTTTCAACTCATTCAACTTATTAAAATTGCTTTTGGTTGCTCTAACAAGATTTGCCTATACTATAGTAACAATTAAAAGATTTAAGCAATTGAAGAAAGGACTCCAAGAGATGATTATTAGTGATGAATGATCTTCTTACAAGAAAGATGATGTTGGAAAAGCTAAATTTGTGAAAGATACATTATTGGATGATGTTTGGTGGGACAAGGTTGATTGTATACTATCTTTCACTAGTCCCATCTATGATGTTCTTAAAAAAATGGTTACGAAAGTTTCATCTCTCCATTTAGTATATGAAATGTGGGACTCAATGATTGAAAAGGTAAGAAAAGTCATATATCGATATGAAAGAAAGGCAGAAAAGGAAGAATCAAGCTTTTATAATGTTGTGCACTCCATATTAATTGAATGTTGGACAAAAAGTAGCACACCTCTCCATTGTTTGGCTCATTCTTTAAATTCAAGGTAATAAATTATATTCCTAAATAATATTTCAATGATTAAAATTTTTAGTTAAATTTCTATAAGTTATTACAACCAATTTTTTATATTGTAGATATTATAGTCACGAATGGCTAAGTGAAGATTCTAATAGAGTTCCTCCACATCAAGATATCGAACTTACTCGTGAAAGAATGAAATGCTTCAAAAGATACTTTGTTGATATGAGGAGACAAGTGAATGTAGAGTTTGCAAACTTTTCAGATGGAAGAGAAGGTTTTGATGACATTGATTCTTTAAGTGATAAGGGCAAGATGGATGGAAAATCTTAGTGGCTTCTTCATGGTGCTCATGCTTCAATACTTCAAATAGTTGCCCTTAAGCTACTTGGACAACCATGTTATTCTTTGTATTGTGAAAGAAATTAGAGCACTTACTCTTTTATTCATTCTATGAAGAGAAACAAGATGACACCAGATAGTAACTTCTGTCATTTTTCAAGAAATTCTCCATAATATGATCAAGAGGAAACAAAAATATGGGACATAGCAGGAAATGCATTTGGATCACTAAATGAGAATGAAATGCTTGAAATTACTAGTTTGTCACTTGATGAAATGGAACTAGAAGTTGTGTTTTTCAATGATGATGATCAAGGAAGTCATAATCACTAAGAGATTTGATTCATCTTCTTAGTTTGAGACTTTCTTCTTGTAAAGAGATAAAGTTTTTACATTTTGAAATGATGTCACTTAGTGTTTTTTGTTAGGGTATCATATGAAAATTGTAAAGTCTAACAACTTTATCTTGAGAGAATGAATGAACAAATCTTAATTTTTAATATAAATTTTTCACGTTAATTATATTTAATATTTTTTTATATTTATATATAAACGGTGTCTCAGTGTCTTATATTTTAGACATTAACTATGTCCTATTGTCCTTGTCGTGTCCGTGCCGGAGTCGGTACTTCGTAGGTTTTACTACATTATTAACGGTATATTAAAAAACATATAAAATTACAAACTTGTTTTTCTTACTTATTTGATTGATATTTTATCCAATTTTTTTTCTTTTTCAGGAACCTTTGGATGACATAACTCGTCCTTGATCAACTTTAAGAAATTTTGTAGCTTCTTTATATTTTGTACAATGTTCATTGTAATTATGTGTAATTGTCCTTGTAAATGTAATTTTTAACATTATTTAATGAATATAATATATTGCATTTACTTCTGTTATGTTATACTTTAATGATCACTTTTTTATATGCTTTTTTTTTCCTAAATTCTACAATATTCGCTTAAGCCTTCCAACTTTCACTTAAGCTAATATTATTCGCTTAAGTTATTGTCATCATGCTTAAGCGAATATGAACTTTGAAAATTGATACTCTTTGTCCAATTTTTGCTTAAGCTATTATTACTTCACTTAAGCTATTTAAGATTTGTTTAAGCGATTATTACTTCACTTAAGCTATTTAAGATGCGCTTAAGCTATTTTTAGTCACTTAAAAGTGATGCATGTCTAAAAATTATAACTCTCTATCTATTTTTTGCTTAATTCTATTATTTTTGCTTAAGCTAGTGTTCACGTAAGCCGATTATTTTTGTTTAAGCAGATATTTTACATATCTTCTCTTCTTTGATTCAAAATTTGCTCAAGCCATTTTGTTGCACACTTAAGCAAAAATTACATATATTCACTTACGTGGATCATTTTCACTTAAGTAAAAAATGGATTAGACGTTCAATTTCTGCACAAACTAGAACAATTCAAATCTAAACATGAACATTCTATCAACTACCATAATTCATTTGTTAAAAAATTTGAATGAATGAAATATATATATATATATATATATATATATATATAGTTTTACTTGTCGCATAAATATAATTTTTTAAAAGTTATTTGGAGAGAGAGATTTTAAAGTGAAAGAATAAAAAAAATAAATTTTATATTTCAAATATATTTAAAATTAATATTTATTAAATAAATTATATAAATTAATATATTAACATAAATTTAATATTTTAATCATATATTTACTATTATAAGTAATATATAATTATTTTAATTAAAAATTAAAAATATTTTTTTTCTTTCAAAACTATTGTTCTAAGACATTTTTAAAATCTCTAACACATCCATAATTTTTGTGAGTTTCGTACAAAAATTATTAAAATATTTTAAAAAATAAGGTACACCCTTATAACATGCAAAATTCTTTGCCCCATTCAAAAAAGTTATTTAAAAATATTATTATTTTAATAATTAATTTTTTAAAAATATTATAAAAACCTAAAAGTATAGTTAAAAATATATAATGTAAAATATAATTAGTAATAGAAAAAATATAATTAGTTATTTTTATCTTTATATTAATGTTACATATAATTTTTTAATTTTGTGAGTAATAACATTATTTATTTTTTATTTTTTATTTTGCTATTACAACATTTTTAATTTTTATCTTGTAGTTTAATCCCTTCTTTATAATGTTCCATGGTCATTTTTAAAATCAAACAATAAACAATAATTTTTGTTGCATCTTTCAATAAAATCTATTTCTTTTTCATACATTGTAAAAAATTGAATCCTTTATAATACATTGAAAGAATTCAGTTATCTGCCAACTACATCAGGGTTTAGTTGGTCATATTTGTTCGTGATTTTATTAGTTTCAGCTTGACCTTAACGCGATCTACTAGCTTGGAATACATCTGGCTAACAAAAAAAAAATTGCAATTGTTTTAAAACACAAAATTTGTCAAAAAAATTAATTAAAAACATATAGGAATTATATTCACTCGTGGTAATGATTTTACTTTTTATTTACATATTTATTAATTTTATTCTAAATTTTAAACATTAAAATTATTATTAATTTTTTTATTAATATTAAATTTTTCATAAATTTATTTTTACTTTTATAAAAATATTTTAATTTTTTCTACCTTTTTAAATTTAAAATTTACTTTAAGAATCTGATCTCCTAAACTTATGATTATTAATATATATTGATCATTGACATTATTTATTTTTTACACTACATAATAAAATATTTTTTTAAATAAATTATATTTTAAATTATTTAATTGTATAAAATATTTATCATTTTAATATATATTATTTATAATTATAGAGTTAAGTCAAAATAATTTTTTAAAATGATTATTGTTTAAAATAAGTTGATTATATATATAATCATTTAGAAAATATAAAATTTAATTTTTAATTATTAAATGATATATTTACTCTAGAATAAAATAGCATCACGTTTCACGAACTACTAAGCTAATAATAATAATAAATTAATTAATTAAACATGACTAAACAGTGGACACATTAAACACATTGCGGCATTGAAAATGTTAGGAGTTCTAGTTATTCCACGTGGCACCTCCCATGCCACACGTCACATGTATGTGACCCCACAAATTAAGCTGTCCACATTCTGAGTTCACCCTAAATACCTGGTTCATTTTTCTAGTGACCACAACCTTATAAGTTATCTTGAGCAAGATATAAAATAAAATTAATTGCAAATCGCTATCAGGTGTAAAATGAGGCTCATTTGTTTACTCTTGCACCATCCACAATAACATAGGGAACTGCATGGTCATACTTATCCACGAAGTTGCATGCAATAGGTACAAAATATATGATCATAGCAAAATATACAAGACCCACTGTAGTAACGTGAGACCCATGTTTGATCCGTCGTAGGAGTGCCCTTAATTAACATTGGGACTTTCACCATCGTCAAAAAATGGAAGTAATTGGTTAGAGGTGTGTAGTTTTAGTGAATTCAGTTAACAAAATAATAGCAAGTGATCTTCTGAATTTTGAACTGCGGTGTAAAAGACATAATACACTAACATACTGTGTATATTCGTTTAATATGCACAGTGGACATGAAATGTGTATCATTTGACAGCCAACTCCAGTTTTAACATGATAATGCTTGAGGAGGAACAGATAGTAGCCATTATTAGCAATATAATTTGGAGCAGTTTGAACAAAAAATTGAAGATCCATTTCATTGAACATAGAATATGAGATATACAGAGAAATATGCATGACGACTATAACTACGACTACTACTACTACATACATCTTACTTATACTTTTGCTGATAGGCACTCCAAGCAGTGGCCAAGGTGCACCAAACCCCACTTTGGGTCAGTAACACTACCAGTAAAAACCAGAAGGAACAAATTTAAAAAAAGCAAAAATTACATACAAGCAATAGCCAAGATCAGTGAACTGAAGTTATGAACACAAGCCTTCAGAAATGTTGAAGACAAGATCCTCACATGGTTGCTTCCACCTTCAAGTGTCTAAGCATGAGGTAAAAGAACTCATTCAACTTTCTCACACATCTCACAAGCTATAATGCTCTTCCATCAACAAAGCCGATGATGACAGCTAATAGAGCATATCATCAAGACAAAATTGTAGGCTATGATCACAATAATCCAACATGAAAAACCTTCATGTTTTGAGCACATTCCTGCCTACGAGCATATCAAGCCAAGTTACTCATTCACAGTTTGGCTTAAAGTTCGTACAACATCTTCTTTTAGGACTGTTGAAGAACAAGGTTTAACTCTAAGGCAGACTTGGCCAATAAACCACCTCTCCTGCAGCAAAATAAATAAATAAATAACTGTGATTCTCGACATTCACAGTGGGGGTTGTATGGTATTTAAAGAATTACTGAGCATAGCATCATTTTAGTACATTCAATAAAACCCTCCCCATTTCCCTCACCAGTGAAAAAGGCCAAAATATAATGAGAGATCCTTGCTGGAAAATAAAGTGTTCATAAGTTAACAACACTTATGCAAACTGAGAGATTGGTACTTGATGAAAATCATAGGGAAATTATACCAGAAACATGAATAATCAGCCAAAAAGGGAAACACATTAACACATTCTTAATATATCTTTTACTATTTTAGCATATAGTTGCATACACTACTTGCCGTTGCCCAATACAAGAATGCTATTTTCAAAGTCAGTTGAATGCTCAAAATTAAGAAATAGAAACTGGCAAAAGACTTTCCTTATTTCTATACTAAAAGCAAGTCTAAAATTTTTTCCTTTTCAAATTATGTATTTGTCAGCAACTTTGAAGACTGCTTACCGTATTAGTATTGGAAGATTCATTTGGATCTTTTGCAGCTCCATAAAGCACTGGTTACAGCATTCCCTCCTGTCCTCAAGATTTCATACAATTTAGCTTCATTCACGTGTAAACTACATGAGATAGTGAAAGAAATATTAAGTGAAAATGGAGTGTACCTTTCCTCTTGATGTAGATCAACACCAACAGAGGGAGGTGCTGAAACAGTTGCACGTATTGTTGGACCAAAAACTGCTACAAGCTTCAACAGCATATCCAGTGATACCTTTACATGTCTGCATAGTAAGAACAGAGTAAATGTCTCTCACAAGTCACTCTTTCACAGAGGATGCCAATAATGGAAACAAAATTATATTTAAAGCTCCTGTTGTGAGATAATGACCAACGTTAATAGACCAGGTAAAAGAAATTGGTAATCATTAAAATCCCATCACAATTTGTCGAGCCAATATATTAATAAATAATTACCTTTCTATCTTGCTATCTAGCAAGCCTGTGAGCACAGGAAGTAAGCAAGAAAATAAATCTAAGTTCAGAATCTCCATCTTTTCCAAAAGGACACTGATAACATCTGCTTGAACCTAAAACAGGATGAAACTATTTTAAGGACAATACATTCAACAAGAAAACCATAAATTTCTAGTTAGAAAACATTTAAGTGCAGAACCAAAAATCAAGCCAATAAGGTGGCATACAACCACTTCCAAAGATACGCACAGATTGATCTGGCAGCTTTCTCACAGCATTAATAGCACCTTTAATATCATTGCGCTCCCAAAAATGTCGCACCACCTACAAAAATACACAATACCACTGACCAGTCAGTGACATATATTTCAACGTGTCCAGTATTACATCAATTTCTTTTTTTAGCCCTGTTCAGCATAAAAAATAAAGTTAACATGCCAACATATAGCCAAAACTGTTTTAAGTTCCATGGCTAAGAATAGCACGTACTTGAAATGAGTAAAGTAATTAATAAAAACCAATCGTACAAACAAATAATATTAATAACTAGTAAAAATTACCTGTAGCTTTGTCAAGCGTGAGCGAAGATTACTTAATGTTACATCATGAGTTTGCATCAGACCTTCAATAATTTCCTCTTCATTTGCAGTGTTCAAATCCCCTTTAGAAATTTGAGGCTCAATTTTCTGACAGAATTATATAACAAAATAAACACAACTTAGTTGAACTACCCGAAAGCAACAAATGTGAAAATGATACAGCACGATTAAGTTAGAACTTTCACATTCTTTCAGGGCATATGATATTTCATTTATTTTGTACATTATAGAAAAAAAGAGACTGAAATTTAGAGACATGAAAACAGAAAGAAGAGCAAAAGTACTGAAGCAATGATCCAAATTCAGACAAGGACATGTTCATTTAGAGGATCAAGAGAAAATGATCAGAGAAGCTAATTCCTAAACCCAAGATACCATGTACTATTTTAGAGCCTGTTTAATAGGTATTAATTTTTTTATAAGATATTTATTTCCTCTAGACCAACTTAAGCAATTACATTGAATCTAGCTATTTCTGATCAATAATTATGGAATGCTCCAAGTAGATACAGGCGACACGTTGCATTTATACTGCAGTTCAATCTGGATGGTAAAAAGAGCTTGTTTGCTGCCAAAGCTAATGTGTTTGATGGGTCTAGTTTTGTATTCTTTTTATTTTGTTGGGTTTGGGTTTCCTATCATAACAAGCTTAAAGCATGGTATTTTTCCAGCTTGAGAAAAGTATATAGTATATACTATATAGTACTGAGGAAAGTCTCCAGTGATACAAGGTGACTCTGTGTAGCATACTCTAAAAACAAAAGACATTGTATATATGCTTGAAATACTAGTACACATAAAGGTTTTGAGATCGTATATTTAATCCAATTATTTTGAGTAAAGAGAGTTTATTTATTCTTTTTTAACATTCGCTTCACTTTGATTTTAACCATCCCATGCTTCTTACCTTCCCAACATAGTATCGGAGCAGTACTACCATCCACCTAAAACCTTAGGCTCCAACCCAACAGGAAAATAATTGGGAAAAAAAACCTATCAACCTTAGAGGAGGCTAATCTCACCATTCCATTCTTCTCTCTCCTTTTTTTACACCTAAGATAACATCGATCATAGTTCTGTTATGTTGTTACAAGAAACTACCCTCTTAAACATTAAGAATTTCCCAAGTACTTTGTACTCCTTAACAGAACTAAGCAAGAAGAGAAATCTGATAACATATTCACAAGAAAAAATGAGAAACCAAGACCTAGAAGAATATAAGCAGATTTTCCTGATATCATGTTCAATTACAGATTTTAAAAAATCTGACAAGAAACCGCACAAATATGTTATATCAAATTATAAAGCCTAGCAAAATCTCAATCTGATAGATGCAGATGCTGGCTTATAAGCTATAAACTGGGACCAACAACCAACCAAAATTTTCATTAAAAATATTGGAAGCTGAAGCAGAGATGCTATGCTAGTATCAAAATTTCTCTAAAATTAAGCTAGAATTTTACCAGAATGTTGGGAGATTTATCTGTCTCAGATATTGTCTTGGGAATGGAGGGCATACTGTTTTGATCTTCATGGCGGGGAAGTCTTTCCTTCCTCTCAAATACCATGGGACACGGATTAATTTGATCTTCATTGTGAACTTTTGATCTCATTTCGTTTATTGTGGGCAGGTACACATTGGTTTGATCTTCCTTGATTTGAATTCTTTCCCTTCTCTCAAACCTCTCAACTAATGACCGGGTCCTTCCTCGTACAACAGCAACTGCCAGAATAGAACATAAAAATATTAAATTTTCAGAGGCTTTTAGATTATATAAATCTGCATATATATGGGATAGCCGATAGCAGACCTCCATTGATATATTTAACTGGACTAATCTCTTCATTGCAAGGTGAAGGCTCATCACCTGAAATATAATGAGAAAAACATTTGTAAATTCAAAAGCCTCTAACTTTAATTATAAATAATAATCCAAAGTATGCATAACACCTCTGCTTGAACAACCTTATACATGGCAGTTCAGCTCTTTTACTAAAGCAGAACCCAAATCTCAAAATGCTACTTGTCAGAATATTTGCTTGTTCACATCACTAAAAAGAGCTTATCTGTCAAGAGTCTAGGAAAATAGTTTATTCACTATTTTTCAAAAGGAAATATAAGTTGGAAATCAGAGCTAAACTTAATTGCAGAGAATTTCACAACATCTTGACAGATTTAACAAGGACCAAATGTAAATATTTGTGATTATGATGAATGAGCAAGAAACAAAGTATGATTATAAATTAGCTTTTCTTAAGAGGGCAAAAGGTAGCATGTGGTCATCTACTAAAAATATAGGCTGGGATCAAAGGGGAAAACAGTAATTCAACTGATGTGTAGTCAAATAATCAAGGATCATGAAGCTAACAATCTAACAATGCTATAACTGAGAGAGAACACGTTTAATAGAAGTGGAAACATAAACTAGATAAAGGAGATTATGAAAATAGGATAGAAAAATATAATCAGTAATAACTAGCATTTGATCTACTGAGTAGTAACTACAAAAAACTTACGTTTTGCTTGGTCAGAAAATCTGCTTGGAGATACAGTCCTGTCAAATTTGTCTGTAACACTCTTGATAGGATGTTTATCTTCACAAGATTCTTTGACTTCATTCTGAGGTCCTAGATTCATTTGGAACATAGGATCTTTTGTGCTGTCTAATTTACTTGCACTATCGCAATAATTTCCAGAATTCACATTTTCTGAAAACCTATCAACATCAAATCTGCCAGTGGATGCTCTCCGTACATGAGCTGGTTTAAGTAACATTCCAGGCTTTGTCTTTGAAAAGGTGATGGTCTCTTTTTCAGATTTTGCTGAGACCTTACTGTCAGGAGTGTCCCGAGGTACAATATTTGGCACAACAAAAGATTTTCTAATTGCTTGTTCATTTGATTTTACATGAACTCCTGCTGCAGGATTCTGCTTCAGCATTCCCAAGTTACAAATTTCCTTGGATTCCTCTCGGAGATCCACTTTTGAGGAACTCAAAGACCCTGATCTTTGTAAAGTAACAGGCTTCCCACCAGAAGCTTTATATAAAAGAAAATAATATTTTATTAGATATACAATTGGCAAGTGATCAGAATTATAATACATTGACACCAGAATAATTCAGTATGTAAATGAATCCTATTGGTTTGCATCCATCATATCAAAAACTTCACAAGATGCTTGCATGTAAAATTAAATTTCCAAATTGAGTTACTTCAAGAAAATTGTCAACCCATTTTTTGCCAAAACAACCAATTGATACAAATGGTAGCATACTAAATCACCTAGGTGCACTATATGACCCAGACTCTAATTTGCAAGCTCAATTGTTGCAGAGCTTTGACACATCCAAACATAAACCAAACTTAAATCAACATTATCAAGAGTGCTGATACATACAGCTTCCAGCTAGACCGGTCAAAGATCAGCACAAGTTGGGTTTATCAAGTTAACCAATGCCAATTGAGAGAATCACTTGACACTTTACAAAAGCTAGACTTATGAATGCTAGCAAAACAATAAATGCAGCAAAACTTTGCCATTAAATGTGGCAATAAAAGTAAAACTTATAATACAGAATTTTAAATTTCAGAGTAACTAATGAATATATAGCACTGGCTTACAATCAATGTAAATATTCTTTATCTCTTTTGACTCATCAGGAGACACGCTGCGAAACCCAGATGTTGGTCCTACATTAACCTCTACTTTCTCCAGTTTACTTCCCTTAAGACTAAGTTTCTGCTCAGTGCCTTCTTTTTTCTTAGGATCCAAGCCATCACCATATGGCTCAATAAGCTGACATGTTAAAATTACCAGTCAGAATAATGATTAACAGAGAATAAAGAACATTCATCTCAAAATATACTTTATTCACAGAGTAATATGGATGCCAAGTCTTGTTGAAGCTAACAACCATTTAACAACCATTTTATTTTGAATATTATATCACATCTATTTACTATAAAAAATGAGTATATATATGCGGAGTATTATCCCACTATATAAGTAATTATATATGCTGAAATTCTTTTCTCAATCCTATTATTTTTCCCCAACTTCAGTATTAGCAATTTGGCATGTGCAGGGTAGAAGTGATGGCATCACACTGAGCTAAATCTATAATTATAACAGATAAATCACATTTTATATTAAGAATAAAAACAACAATTAATCTCTTAATAAATAATAGCAGATTCTACCGATATATCTGCTACCCAGACTCCAACAGAATTTCGGTAGAATGAGCACCCCAAAAGTTTCCCATCATGAATACAGAGATCACCAAGTGTTGTCCATCCCATATCAACAGTATCATGACATATAACAGGTTCCCATGAATACACCTGCAATATATCAGCAAAGCATATGACATCTTTCACCTGTTCCAGATGCTGCATTATTAAGTTATATAATCTAAAAATTGCATTAAAGTTTACCTTCAAACCATCTTCATGTCCAGTAAATAGGGTCCTTCCATCAGGATGAAAAGCTATTGAGCGTACCCCAGTAGCCTTATAAAAGTAATATGACGCAATTCAGATAATTAATATAAAGTAAAAGTAACACAATTTATATTTATCATAAAATTTTGTTTTATATAAATTTTAGTGTGCCATACACATGCTTGTATTTGGCAGAATAATGTATAAGTTTCCATTAGAAGAAAGGCCAAATAAGGCAGTTCATGCACAACATAATTTTTTTGGACAGTTGGCATGCTTCAAAGGCAATAACTTTGGTACATCTATGGTAAAAATATAAAACAAATCATTTTTGGCATCTATTAGCTTTAAGACAAGATACGCTAGTATTAGCAGGTTAAAACAACTTTCAACCCTGGCAAATGCAAAAAAGGACAGATGTTCTTGTCCATAACTACATCAATAAATTTTCACCAAAAACTCATCCACAATTAAAAACAATGTGATGACAAACTGGAAAGAAGTGTCAAGCACAGTTATTTGGAGATGTTGGGAGAGAAAGAGAGAAACAGACAGATGCAAGCACAAATTATGGCATAAATGAAAACAATTGTTTCCTTTGTATCAGAAGAAGAAAGATTCAACAAGTTTAGATACCTCACGTCTGGCAGATCCAATAAGTTCAAAGGTTTCTAAATCCCAAAATTTCACTGTTCTATCTGCAGAACCTGCAAAACAGTTTGCAAATTTCAATAACTTATATGTTAAAAAAGAATTGAGCTTGTCTCAACCCCAAAAGTTAGCCCAAAGGAGGAAGATTGTCCAATTCTTATAAAGATTACTTTGACTATATTTTTTACTAACGTGAGATATCTTGACATTGTATTTTTACCAAAAAGAAATTTGTAGAAACTTTGGTTATTGTAGAGAAGATACAACTATAAAACAAAATGTGATTGAAAATAGCAAAACCACACGACACATTTCACAGCCCCAAAACAAAAGTGCGATGATATCTGAATAATGCATATTTCTCATATATAAATAGGCTTTATTACATATAAGTTAAATTTGCCTATTTCATGGATATTTTTCATTATTAGATAAGAGAAACTAATCATTAAATATCCATGATAATTAAAGCATTTGATGATATCGACTTATATATAAACAACTTGGACGTAGAAGTTTCATAGTTTGTAATATTATGAGACTTCTATTATTGACATTAATTCCAAGTCTTATTAAAGAAGGAAACAAATATATTTTCCTTGTTCTCTATCTCTAAAGATTGCACATTAAAAGGGATTATAAATAAATAAAAAATACTAGAAGAAAAGCCCATTACCTGATTTTGGACAATAAAATTAGTATAAACATGAAGAATCAGTATAAACTCCAAGCTGGACAGACTGATGTAGATCCATGCACTTGCAAGTTATTTTAAAGCTTATAAAAGTGGCACGACATTTTGCAGCCACTACCAGAGACTAAGTTAAAAGTTTTAGGTTTGGTTAGATTGCGATTTTGGGAATCCACACTCCATGCCATATGTTTCACAGTCCAACAAGTACATATTCAGCAACTTCATTTACCAAAGACTCACATAGCAGCATGTTAAATTGTTATATAAATTCCAACGCTAACCTCAATCTATATTAGAAGACATAAGAATCTACTAAAGAACAAGAAAAAATTTCCCCATGAGTGGATATTTAACAATAATGGTTTTGTTATTATCAGCCTTAACCCCTAAGGGCTTGACAAAACCATTAATATTTTAGTCTCTAAGTTGAGTTTCTTTGATCATCTAAAAATTATTGAGTTTCACAATTTGCGTCTACTGCTCATAACAACCCTAAGCTGAAGATTGGAATAAAAAATGTCCATCCATATCCTCAATTGCGATGTTTTCATCTTCTTAATCCACAGAGCACATCAAGTTTTCCATAAAATTTGACCAATTATACAACCTACTAAACTTTCATTTAGTGCACAAGAAATTATATTAATATTAGAAGATTTTTTTTCTATGTATCAACCCAATAAATGCAGTAGGTATAATGAAACAAAGAATCTTTCTATAGATATTGCCAATACATAAGCATCTACCACTTTCAAGCGCTCCAACTGTTCAAGTTCAAAAGTCATTAAATCACCTGTAGCTAAAAGAAACTCAAGCGGATGGAAATCTAATGACCTAATGTGGCCTTCATGGAACTTGAAGTCATGCAAGAGCTTCCCAGCTGTTAGATCCCACACCTGTACATTGGTAGTAAGGCAGATCCATGGTTTATTAATACAAAAATTGTGTAAGTTAAAATCTATTACAAGTTACAACCACAATGGATCCAAGAATGTCCATATTGTTACCTTCACAACATTATCAAATCCACCAGAAACAACCCATCGGCCATCTGGAGTGAATTTGATAGTACTGATACCCTGGCTATGACCCTTGTATGTATGAATGCATCCCTTTTTTCTGATGTCCCAAATCTTTAGATTAGTGTCCATGGAGCCGGATGCAAAAAATTCACCAAAGGGATGAAACTCAACAGCAGTACAATTGGATCTGTGTCCAGCAACAGTGCGAACCACTATACTTCAAGAACAACACATATATTAGAAGCATAATAATAAATTTTACAAGGAAGGATCCTATATGATAATATGGCAACCAAAGATTGAAAATCTTTTAAAATTTGGAAGTCATAACTAGTAGCAGTACTTATAGATTCCCTTAATTCTTTAATCAAGTATTAATTTGTGAACAGCCAGCCAGTTTTCATTTCTCTAGCTTACAGTCTAATGCTCCATAAATAAACACCAGTTTATGTTGTAATAATAGCCTAAGTTCATCAAAGTGTCGTTGACTAATTGACTTACTCTTTGCTTCTTCTAAATCCCAAAGCTTTATCACACCTGACGATGATCCAGCAAGAACCAACACTTCTCCTGAGTCAAATGCGACAGATTCAACTGGACTAGTATGACCAGAAAGGCTCTGCATATATATTCACATTAAGCCAGCATTAGTAGGTCACAGTTATATACATGCCACCTGGCACTGCAACCATCAAAAGAAAGTTGCATTTGCACGCGAGTCATAATGGGGGATCCAATCAGGAAAAAAAAATTATAGATGATAATCTAACTACGGTAGAAAATCCCAGTTTTGTAGTACTTTCCTGTAGCACCAAGTGCAAAAAGTGTGATGCAGTGAGGAAAACAAAATAAAACTTATCATTTAACAGTTTTTCTATTGTGTACCCTTGGGCACACAATAAAAAAATCATTAAAAATAGTAAGTTTACATTAGAAATTGTAGCATTTAATGATATCAATGCATTAGATCCTGTAACATCATGTAATTTCCAATATAAACTTACCATATAAAGGTTCTTATTGTGTAATTGATCATTTAATATGAACTAGCCAATCCTTCAGTCAAATAGAATATCAATTGAAAAGCAAGAAGGGCTCGTCAGAAATAGACCCTTCATTAAAATGGCCTAGCCAATGATCTAGCAATAACCATATCCTAACCAAAATCCTAGAAAAGCAAATGTAGCAATGGCACTGACCATTAAAGAAGTTGGTTTGCCAATCGTCCATAGATTGACTTTGTGATCGTCCCCGCCTGTAATGAAAAGACGGCACGCCTTCTTTCCAATATTTAAACAATTGACGGTTGCTGAATGAGCGACAAATTCCTCTAAGTTGATTGGCTCAGGAATTCACATTATCAAACACAGTCAACAACACAGAAAATCAGATTGAAGAGAAGAACTAAACAAATAAATCAAGACCACGCAAATTAAAAATCACACTTTTAAGCTAAACCAGCAAAATCGTTATCTCTTCTTCTGATTTCCAAAGATCAGTGAAAAAAATGTTGAATGCTTCCAATAATAGAAAAATATAAAGTAAAACAGAAATAAAAAAAAAAAACTAGACCTTGAAAGCTCCCAATAACTTCTGCAACAAATTCCGGGCAACCCAAAGTAACAAAGATGTAAAAAAATAAAACGTTTTACCATAACTTCCAAAACTTGTATCACTCTTTTACCCAGAAAACAAACAGATTAGACTAAATCCCACCTTGCCCTCTCCCAAAACATAAAACCCAAAAGGGGAAGAAAAGACAACGCACACACACACCACAAAAAAACAAAAATAAAAAGACTTTTGAAGCTGTAGAGAAACACCTGCCTAGATTTCAATAGAAAATCAACTACAATAACCAAATTTATTCTAAAAACAACAACAAGAAGAAGAAAGCAGGTCCAAACAAGCATTTTCTCTAGCAAAACACATTCGTTTAATTTTTTTAAAAAGGATACGAAATTTGTATCCACGCTTTGCCATTTTTTGTGGGCAGCTCCGAAACGAGCTTGTGAAGCTGAAAAAATGAAATCCCTTTCTTAGAGGAAGAAGCAATTGAGGAGTTGGGTTGGGTCTACTAACTCCCAAGATGGCACGCGCTGCTGCTACTGCTGCTACTCCACCACCACGATTCAGAATAAGAAGGAAAAAAGGTTCTTTGGTAGAAACTGGATTAGATGTGTCAGATGAGAAGAAAAGGGAATTGGTCTCAAAACAATAATAAAAGAAGGAGAAGAATTCAGATTCAACACTCAGAACAATGAGAATGAAAATACTTTCCCTTCTTTTCTTATTTATTTTTCCAACAGAAAAATTAAATGAGAAGGGATTTCCGTGTCTTAATAAATACTTTATTTAAATATTTAATTATTTATTTTCTAACTTTTATTTATTATGTGTGGAGCAACCAACAAGGACGCGTTTGCCTTGCAGTGGAAAAATAAGAAAAAAAGAAACTTAAAAACACTTCAATTCTTCATCAGACCTAAATGCCCTCCTATTCTGGCTGTTATCCATGTGAAATTACCTAAAAAACCTGTCAATTTGTTGCTGACGTGTAATCTCTGATGGCATAGTTTTTTTATGAAATGGATTATTCTTTTTCATTATATTTTATTATTCGATGTGAGGTAAGAATTGCTCCGTTGATTGTGGTTGTATTCTATTTTGCTGGGTCTAGACAAAATAATTTTAAAAAGTGCTTGAATGGGTGCATAATAAATGTTCAAATTATATTTATTGTATAAAATTACCCACAAGCCTTAAATATATTTGCAGATACTTTTCATTCTATATCTACCTAATCTATTGAGTGATTTAACTAACAATTGAAGAAGAAGCAATTTGAAGAGAATCAAAGGCACGAAAGTGACTTCTATCGAACGACGAGAGATTCCTTATACCATAATCTTCCTTTCTTCATCTTTAATTTTTCATTATTTGGGAGAAAACTTAGAATGGGAAATCTATGTTTCTTTGTCATTCAATAATATGGATGGCCATATATCAACTGCATTTGAAACAGGTAGAGGACAAACGCTGTAGCTATAATCCATTTTTATAAAATAATATTCGTTTAAAAAAAATGGTTTTTATTATTTTTAAAAACCAAAATGTTCGATGTCTGGGAATCCATGTAATTAATATTTGTGATTTTCAATAACTAGTAAGATTTTTACGTTATCTGAAATTAATGTGCATTGTGCCACCGTTGAACTTTTTGAAAACAAATTTGTCAATTTACTATGACACTTACTTCAAAAGAGCTGTTAACTATTTCATCTATTGTACAAACATTTTTGTTGTTTCGGCCAATTAATTAAATTAAGATACAAAGAGATTGATTAATATATTAAGGCATTGTTTGGATATAAAGTGAAATAGAGAGAGAAAATATAAAATAAGAAATAAATAAAAATATTTTATGTTCAATTGAGTTGAAATAAAAAAATATATGCCAAGACGAGTAAAAGAAAATATAAAAAATAAAATTAATAAAAAATTAGTTTTCATTATGATATTTTTAATAAAAAGTAAGTTTTAATTTTTATAATTTTTTATTATTTTAATATTAAAAAAAAAAAAATACTTCCTTACGTTAACCTCCCTCTTTCCTTCTCTTCATTACTCATTTCTCACTAAAATAGAGTTTTGTTTTTCCTTATAATAAAAAATTCTCCCCCTCCCTAACTTCATTCAAAGCCAAAAAAATATTAAAGTTTCTTTCACTTCTTTTCCTTTTCCTTAATTCTATTTCATCTAAACAGAGTATAAATGAGTCAAAAATTCAATAGAATGTTTAAATAAATATAGATCGATAATTATTTTAATGTTATTAACTACAATTTTTGTAATTAAAACTATTAAACGAATATTTATATTAACTTACTTTTTGAACATTTTCCTAAAAAAAACATTTGATACTTGGATAAACTCACAATACCTAATTTTTATACTTATTTTCCTAAAAATTATACTTATATTCAAACACAATGTCTTGATGCACTATTAAATGAATATTTATATTAACTTATTTTTTTGAACTTTTTTTAACATTTTCCTAAAAAAACATTTGATACTTGGATAAACTCACAATACATAATTTTCAAAAACCAAGTTCAAATTGTTGGGGTCAACTACTGTTGTCCAATTGTAGCAGCTCCCCACCCCACCCTATGGCGTGTGTCAAGAAAATAAAGTAAAAGACTGTCTATGTATGATGCCATCAACTGACAGTTCATAGACTTCGGTCAGATCCTCCTCTCAATAATGGATAGTGTATCCGCCATTGGCACCAATGTTGGTCCTCAAATGCTCATAATTAAGATAACATTAATAGATTTTTCTATACCCTACTCTTAAAAATAGTAATATGCAATCAAAAGCATCTTCACAATAATGCGTGTATTTAGATAGATATTACAATTTTGATTTGAGGTAATATTTGAATTTGTAGAAATCATTTTAGTTAAAAGTGAATTTCTAACATAATTAGTTAGATGTGAAATTACCAAAATATCAATTAAGTACAATATTAAAGCAATATAGTATAAAATCTCAGAAGTAATTTTGTTAATACATATAATCAAGTTTTTCCCATTAAAATCATGATGTTGGAAACAAAGTCAAGTCTCTACAAAATTGTTAAAAATAGTGTTCACAGTCTATTCACATTCATTAGACCTGATCCATCTTGCTTAAATGAATTTCCAAAAACTAACTTGTGTCTTGTTCATTATTGGTATCACTACTTTTTGAACCTGCCGAAAATATTACTTGAAGTTTTAGAGTTAATTATAAAAAGAAGCACCACCCAAAGACAATAAAAGGGTACCACATGACTAATAACTTATGAGATGGTGGGGTTGAATTGGTGATGTGTTTTTCATGTGCAAAACCAAAAAGAATGTTTTGGCAAATACCACATTCACTGAAACATGAATGTCCCTGCATCATGAGAGTCATAGCTGTAACCTATTATATATGTATATGTAAAGAAAAAGGAAATCATTGACTAAGCACTGGCATGGCAATCCAATGTCTGCTGCAATACATGAAAACATTGCTTAGCCACTCCTTTTTCCCCCCATCCAGGCAATGTGGCTTTCATTTTCCCCTGGGCTTTTTGTTTTACAAATTTTAATTTCCTTAAGCTTATAATTCTTATACATCTTATCAAATGTTTTAAAATTGAGAAAAATTAAGCTTAAAAATGTGGTAAAAAACTATATAATTTTGAGTAGACTTTTGGTTTTAAAAATTTATTGATCTCAACATGATTCAATTTATGTTAAATACTTATAAATTTAAATTTATTTTAATATTACTAGTTATAATTTATGCATATCATCAATTGACAAAAAATTAGTTCAATTTAACGTGGGTTCTTGTCTCAGTGTATGCTTTTAAAAGACTATTTTGAACTTGTTTCATGATTCTTGTCATGTGCACCCCGTCAACCCCGCTGTATTAATAAATGAAATGAAATAAAAATCCAAAATTTGAAACCTATTTTCTATTTTGAACATTTGTATTATTTTGTTTTCTTAGAATCCAATCCCAAAAATAAAAATCGAAGGAAGATTTCGTAAAATATGACCCACTTATTATGAGACACAGATTCTTGTAAGTTGAAAATCGGACAGGCAGAACGAATTTCATTTTTTTATTTTTATTTTTTACTTATTCTTGATGTTTTAAATTAGTGAAATTTAATAACATAAGTATTTGACTGACAGTTGGGAGAAACTTGTCGGCCACACGTGGCACCGTCACGGCAAGACAACGTTTGTCGTTTGATTGCTTTTTTAACATTTGTTTGTCGTCGTTTTCGATGTCATCAACTTTCACCTCCACTGTACTCGGCTTTTACTTTACTTTTTCTCTTTTAAACAAGAGCACAAAACGACAAGGAAAATAATGCATCGAGGGGGTTAGAATGTGACACCGACACTGTTTACGACATGACCATCACCATGTGCGCCTGTAGAACACTGATAGATACGTCAAACCAAGGCTCTCACCCTAGGCAAGGTTTTGCACATATTTTTGGCCCATTGGGCTACAGAAGTAGGCTCATTAATGGGGCATGAGCTAGAGTCCAGCATTCAATTTTTGCATTAGTACGGGCCTGGTTATTGATTATTACAGAAATAATAATCAGTGTTTTTTATACTTATTAGAATTGCAAAAACAAAAAACGAGTTTGAGAGAACTGGTTTATTATTTGAATATTAAAATTTTAAAATGTTTGTAATTTTCTATATATTTTTTTACTACAAGTTCAGTCTTTTAGTTTCTAATAAGCAATTATAATTATTATCATTATCTGAAGTACATTTTGTATTTTAGATAAACTAAATTGCTATTTATTATATGCATCTTGTTAATGACATTTACTTAACAATCTGCTACGTATCTAAGTAGAATTTTAAGCCTGTTTATTTTACACAATAAGTTGTTTTTTTAAAATTAAAATGCACTTAAAAGGTATAATAATTAGTTAAGTTAATAAAAAAACATTTAAGTGGGTTTCCAGTGTTACTTAATAAACAAGTAAAAGATCAATAAAAGCTCGGCAGTACATGAGCAAGAGTACTTTTAAAACAATATTTTACAAAAAGTTATCAAAAAAGGGTGTGAAAAGAAAATAAAAAGTTGAAAAAAGTAACCCCCAACGAATGCCGACAAGGATGGATGACATTCTCGAGAATCAAAGTAATAACATATTATCACTAATAAATTTTAAAAAATGAGAAACCGAACAATGAAATATGAACTATGGCACAACATTCCTGCTGATTCATAATTACATGAGTAAGAAGATTCTTCATATAAATAAGGAAATAATCTTTGGCTCAGAAAATTTCATAAAGAAAAAATTAATAAGGAGCCAAAGATACTTTGGCTCCATTTCCTGGTTGAGTTCATCTTCTCACAGATAGTTACATGTCCTTTTACATCATTCGCATGAGATCTTGAACAATTTCAGACATTGCTGGCCGGAATTCGGGTTCACGCTGGAAGAAAAATAATAAAAAAGAAAATAAACTATAGGCAACAAGGTGTTATCATGTATACAGCTTAAATAAAAATGTTATATAGTAAGTAACCTTATAATCCTTATTTTTCTTTATATTTTTTATGGGAGTGTTTGAAAAAGGGAAAAAAATGCACATGGTAACATCAATGACATTGTCTACTATATTTGCCAAGAAGTTACTTATTATGGATTGGCAGCAATGGCTATGTTTTGCAGTCACGGCAATATTCCTTAAAATGTACTGGCAACAATTCACGTCATACTTGCACATTTCCAATTATACTATCTAGCGACAAAGCAATGCATGTCTTGAAGTTATGATCATTAAAGAGTACGTTTGTGCAATGCAACCATAACTTGTAGGAAATTGTAAGTATCTATTATTTAATTACTTTATTGTTTGTTTTTAGGTAACTCATAACTGTGTTGATGCAATTTAGATTACCTGTACACAAGAAGAAACAATATCAGCAAAACGTGACAATGACTTCATAGGATAGGCTCCATTTAAGCAGGGGTCAACCATTTTTGACAATGCATCAATGTCATGTAGTTGAGGAACTGCCCATCTGACCAAAATTTGCTCTCCGCGTGGCCGTGACCTGAAACATGCAGCCTTGCCTTAGCCAAATCCAATATTTAAAACATGGATTCTATTAAGCTGGTATCATTGCTGGAAAAGATAACAAACACAAGTATCTAAGATTCTAAATTAATACTGGAATTGCTCACTTGTCAAAGGATTTTCGTCCAGTGAGGAGTTCTAGCATTACGACACCAAAACTGAAGACATCGCTTTGCTGCGTATAACTTCCAGACTCAAATTCTGGAGCACTGTAACCATAAGCTGTAAGGAGGCGTCCTGATAACTGAGATTAGATGCACCAATGTTAGTCAGAAATGTAACAAAAATAGAAATGCTACACTTAATTCTTAGGTCTAACGGTTCTTTTCACCAATGTTGTACAAGATGTTAACGCAAAATATGGAGTACAATTTTTAGAAATTCTGAATATTGGGAGAAACGGAATCTAATTAAGTTATATAACCTTCAGATAGTTTACAGAACCAGACCAATCACCCATTTGAGTTCTTGGCATTAGCTAGGAACTTTTATAATCAAAATTGCAAAGAAGCCATCATGGTTGTGCTGCATAGTGCAGTAACCTGTAACTTCTTTGATACTAAATGAAATTCCATACCTTATCTTTATTGGTTCTGAAGAGTAAAAAACTAACTTCCTGGTCTAACAAAAAAATAAAAATGAAAATCTGATCATATTGCACTCACTACTTACATATGAATATAATGTTTTCTAGGCCATTTATTACATAACGTTCAGTAGCACTACAAAAATGTCCAAAACATAGTTAAGAAGTCTAAACGCACCAGATGTTTTCTTATAATAAACCCAAACTAAGTATCAACTGAAAATTTATAGCTGAAGAAATTAAAACTCGAGAGGTACCTGACCGGTAGAGCCAGAAGATAGTAAAGGCCCTAATCCACAATCAGAAATGCACACTTCCAAATTGTCATTCAGAAGAACATTTGCAGACCTAAAATTCCGGTGTACAATTGGTGGCTGAAAGTCCTCATGCATATATCTTATCCATGAAAAGAAAAGGTATGAGTGAAGGTTGTGAAGAAAACAATCCATAACTTAGCCTATAGCTGATAGTCTAGAACATAATTGTTTATACTGACAGAGACTCAATTTTGTGGCACATGCTAGGATAATAGTGACTGATACACGAAAGCTATGTTCCCAACCACCAAAAGTAATTACATACTGACCAAGATTTAGTTTATCTAGCTAGACAAAATGGAATTGGATTTTGAGTTGGTCACTAGACTCACTCTAAAGCTCTTGCAGCTCCAAGTGCCACTTGAACGCGTGCATTCCATGGAAGTTTGATACAGTGATCATAATCTGCATGCAGTGCATCATGTAGGGTCCCATTACTGCAATACTCATATACAAGTAGTCGTTGGCTATACTCAGCACAGTAGCCCACAAGCCTTGCAATATTTGTGTGCTGAATTTTCGAGATGCTGGACACCAACTGAAGAAATTGTTCATGATTCTGCCCCATGGAAGCAGTAGCATCCAGTTTCCTGACTGCCAATAGCTACAAGGAACATTCAAAAGATATAAGCATGCAATCCACCGGTTAACTGAAGTAAAATCAGGAACATTAGATAATAACAGGTCATCTCAAGCAAGAAAAACAAAAAGGTTATGCAGAGAGCTTCAAAAATCACAAAGCAATATATTTTAATAATGTATGAATCAACGCAAAGTCTATGGTGCATCTGCCCGGGTTGGGAACATCAATGCAACACTCAATATTAATTGTTGGATTAGAACTAAAATGGATAGCCAGGAATGCATAACTGCGTGTTGTAGTGATTGACTGACTAGTAAGTGTTGATTCTTCCTTTGAAGTATTAAGCTCTTCTATTTTCTGGTTTATTAAAATTTCCCATTTAGCCAATATAAAAACTTGTTTTAAGAGATATTAATGATCAAATCAGCGTACATGAATTGCATTTCTGCTGACGAAGGTGGCTGGACCACAATGGCTTTGAGGACCAAACCACCTAATCAGAACTTGTGCTTAGATAGGTTGGAAGAGTAGTTTTGGAGAGCATTGGTTGGTTCCACATAGAAACAGAATAAAATTGGTCTTGGAAATTATTCAATATCAGAGACACAAAAAAAACTGACACAGAGAAAAAAATCCCAGGAAAGACAAAAGGGCAAGGCGTAAGTAATCCCATAGCTAGAAGAACAAGATTATATACAAACAACAAGCACATTGATAAGGAGCGGTATAATCACATTGCAGACGCAATGAATACAAAAGAAAGTCAAAACACCATCAGATAAGCTGATATATTATTAAACTACAAGAATCCTTTATGTATAAATAAAAACATACAAGGTGGAAAAATTTACCTTTCCATCAGGGAGCTCAGCTCGATAAACAGGCCCGAGTGTGCCTTCCCCAATACAGTTTTCTTGGGAAAAGCTATTCGTATATTGCTGAAGGGATGCAATAGTATACACTTTGATGGAATTTGTCATATCTTGTCTTTCAGTTACTTTGATAGTTATAGCTGGATTAACGATGACCTTTTCACCAGGAATGGTTGGGAGAGAGTGTTGTGGTGGTGGCTGCAGGGATGGAAGTTTGGAACCCCCTCCAGTGTTAATTGATTCACGACCATCGTTGTATTCTGAAGTTGTTGCAGATACTGCTTTCATGTGTATGTCTTGTGCATCCTGAACTTTAGGAATCAAATTTGTTTTTCTATTTGGTACTTCATATTTACCTTTCTCCCCTTGATTAGTTGCTTCATAAACAGAGTCACTGCATGTAGGTTTATTCAGAGGCCCCGCAAACACACCCGCAGCAAGTTTCTTAGTATTTCTCTTCTTCGGCCTTCGCTTAAAGCACCACAACATTAACAGACAAAGCCCCAATGCAATAAATATTAGAAAACCTGCACCAGCAATCAAAATGACCCTCTTAGCTATAAAAGACTTCCTAGTGCTTGCAGGCATTGGCGCTGTCAGGGCAAAAGGACCATTTGCCACTTTCCAAGGTGATTCTTTGGGGGGTGGAGGCATAGCTACAGGTGCAGGGGCAGCAGCAGGAGGTGAAGGAATAATAGTAGTATTAAATGGATTCCCATCTTTTCTGCACAGGACATGCTACTATGTTAACTAGAATAAAAGATCTGGAAATAAGGTAACAAATTGATTTATTCTATAATCATATGCAAAGCAACTATACCAAGAAAAATATGCTTAACACATCCACAATATAAGAATCCTAGTGCAACATTTCAAAATTTATCATTATTACTCCTATTTTAATAAAATGCAGCAGCAAATTTTTCCATGACTTCTGCTGGAAGATCAAAAATATCACACTTGAACCAAGGTTTTGACTTTTGAAAAACACGGAATTTGGATAAATAAGACTACAAAACAATAAGACTACAAAACAGAAAAAAAAATTGAAATTTAAACCATGGCTCACCTGAAATTAGGGATAGTCAATAATTTTGGAGGAATTGGCCCAGAGAATAAATTGTTCTCTATATTCCTACATAATAATAAAATCAAAAGTTTAAGTAAAAAGAAACTACTTCTATACATTTATTTGCAGGATATACATGAAAAAGCATTTGGGTAGTAAGAATTGTACAGGTCTTGAAGAGGCAGGTCCTGCAAAACATAAAGGGTCCCAGAAAGTTGATTGTCTTGCAAGTGTCTGCAAATGAATGAATAAATAAATAATAAATACACCCCGTTGAAGAAACAGGAAAATAGGATCCAATCATAGCAAGAAACTTTACTCACAATGTGGTAAGAGATGATAAACTCCCAGTTGAAGAAGGCAGCTGACCACTCAAGTTGTTATTTGACAAGTCCCTGAAACATAGCACAAGATCTCTGTTATTGTATGGAAATGGAATCAAGATTCAAGAGAATCAAGACATAGAAATGCTGATATGATTTAACACCATTTTCTTACATACTAATCAGACCAGTAAGCTAATGAAATACATCTAGGATTTAACCATTGAATAGGTTATTTGTTAATGATCTTCACAGGCGGCAATTTCTCTTTCAAAATGGAGAAACATATGATGGAAAATAATAACAAGTCAATATGGTATCAAGAGTTGCAGATATCTTATGAACTCACAAGTTTGATAATTGAGTTAGTAAGGACAAGGCATCTGGTATGCTTCCAGTTAATTTGTTTCCTGAGAGAGACCTAAATTAAATATTAAAAAGAAACAAAAAATGGTTAATTATACTTGTATATATGGATTTGTCCACAGACAATTTCCTAAATACAACTACAAAAACATGAATTTAGAGATGATAATGGTAACATACAAGCTCCTCAGAGTAGGGGGCAAAGTAAATGGAATGGACCCTTCAATGTGGTTGTTGCTAAGATCACTGTGCAATGGTGAAACAAAAGCTTCATGAGGCTTCTAGTACAAATACAAATAATTACACAGTTATTGGCCAAAAGCTAAACTTTTCCAATCAAACTAAACAAAACTGACCCCTCTTATCACCAGTGTCCTAGCAAATAGGTGCCTAGTATACATATTCTCAGTATTTCAGTGGTAACTAAGGAAGCAAATGCAATAAAGGTGGTTAACCCAATTTTAAATCACAGTGGACCTATATACAGCTAAATTTAGTGATTCTGAAAGACAAGAAATGCTTGCATTTGTAATCAACATGTACCATAATCCTGAATAATAACACTTACATTTCTATAATGGATGGGAAATTCAAATTGCTGCCCAGCTGCCCACTCAAATTCATGCCTCCAAGTCGTCTGTCAAATATAAACTCCACTGAGCCTTATCCCAGGTGTAAACACATTAAGCTCTATCAATCAAACAACTTAGGCAACACTAAATATATAACAACACTATCCTTTGAAAATTGAAACCAAATATGTAGAATATGAATTGAAAACTAAAACACAATTGTAACAAACAATAATATAAGACAGGGAGGATGGATATACATGGCAGTTATGTTGGAGAAGACACAAGCCACACCTTGCCACAGTTCCAAACATGGATCTCCACCCACGGCTTTCCACCCTTGAAGAGGTGGTGAGCCCAGAGAAACATATAGACTATTGATTGCTGCAACTGTGATCATAACACATCACAAAACAGAATAGTTTACATAACTTGTTTACTTGCAAACAAAACATGCAAGATACTTAACAAGGTGAATTAACCATCAACTTTTGAAAGAAGACAAGCATGGCTAAACATAGAATGCATTCTGTAATTCACTTTGTCGATGTAAAAATCCAAATATTATATAATAATTTAAAAAAAAAAAAAACATCTTTTTTGCTTTTTATTTTGTTTGCTTTCTCACACCTTGCCTAAGAAGGAAACGGAGCATGATATTTATAAAAATGGAAAATGGAAAAAAAAAAAAAAAAGTAGGAAATGAAAAGCGTCAAATGGAAATACCATCAACCATGTCGGTATCTCCAACACAGAAAGTCCCCGTGAGAATCACGAAGGAGGTGACAAAGATTCGCACATGCAACTCCAAATTCGCACTACCCATTTACTCAAAGGGGTCAGTTTCCAACACTGAAGCAAGTGTAGCTCAAAAGTTGAAAACTGAAGAGTGAAAGTCACAGTACAGAACGAGACAAAGATAGAAACTTTCAGTTCACAAGAATCCGAGGTAGTAGTTCTGAGAAAGGAAACAAACCCTCTGCAAACCAAAGGAAAATGAGAATGGCTACCAAAAAAGGCTTTGATATGACTATAGTAAAGAAAGAAAATGGGAGAGAAGTTGAAAAGCCCTAAGGATTGTTGTTCTAGAAAAGCACATTTGTATTAGTACTGTGTGTAGAGATAAATATATATACAGAGTACAAACAGAAGCACAAACACAAGCATTGGATTGTGTCTTTCTTCTGAAAAGCAGAGACAAACAGGGCGTTTTTTGAGCCATAATTCAAAAATATAATATTTGTTTAAATGGAATAGTGTATTAAGGGGTCCACCAGCACCCACGTAGGAAGAGAGACAGAAGATGAAAACGAAAGATGATGAATTGATGATGATGATGTATTTCTGCTTCAGCTGCACACTCAGCCCCTGCTTTACACCCTCAACGGGTCTCTCCTAATGCAACATATTATTATATTATAATGATAAAAATTAAGTGTTTTTTTTTATAAGTACTTTTAGGACTGTATATTAATTAAAATTTAATTTTTATAATTTAATAAAATATTTGTGTTTAATACTATTACAAATTATAATAATAAAATTTTAATTTTAATTAATAAATAATATTAATAACACAAATAATTATACATAAATTTTATCTTATATTTTTTTGTGTCATTTAATTCTCCTGCGTTATTTTTTTAGTATAATTTTTTGAAGCATAATGTAATTCTAACGGAGCGCTATTTTTTTTTTTCGTTATAAAAAGAAATAAAAGACAAACATTAGATACATAAAAACTCTAAACTATCAGCTACAATCACAAGTTGCAGTAGTTAAAAAACTCATATTTGAATAACATTTTGTCGAGCTGATAGAATTGTAAGGCGTAATCAAGTGATTAATACAAAATCTATATAATTTGAATCTCACTGATACATTGTACCTGTGAATTTATAGCTATGATTTTGTACAAGTAGGGATTATTTTCATATTGTAACGGTGAGATAATGCTTTGTGAAAGGAAAGAGTAACATACTAATCCCTTGATTTTATTTTATTATTACATTTTTTTAATCATCTACAATATGTACATAATACACTAAAATGCTGAGAACCCTTCAACCATCGTTTAATTGGAAGATACATTCCTGTGGATTAAAACGTATCAACTCAAATTATTGAATTATAGACATTGATTTCTTTGCAAGGGTTAATCTACATCTCTTTTTAAAATTCAAACAATAGAGTGGTTTTCAATCGTAAGAGTTTCTTACGATTGACATATAACCGGAAGATATTCCATGCATGTTAGCCTATTTCATTTATGGTAATATGTGAAACTATTATCTTGTAATTTTATAATTAGGAAGTGTATTCGTAGCCTTAAAGTGCCCTCATAGGAGCACTATAGGGCACCATTTGTTTTCTCATTGCTTAGAGAAAGGGTTTCATAGCTGTGACATGTGACACGGAATAAGCAACTTTAGTAAGAATTAGGCAATAATTTAGATGGTTGGTGCATGGCTGATTAGCCAAACGAAGATGAAAACAATTTCTCCAATATTTGATAATGTATATGGCGGGTCCATTGTCTTAAGTGGTGCAAAGTACAATTCAAATTTGCTTGAAGATCACATTTCGAACTTGGAGCTACCAGTTATATACTTATATTTATGTAGTCTATCAATGCCGTAAACGAAACCATGTAGTTAACTATGGGAAGCGCCAGAGAGTTCTGATTCTTAACTGCTTGATTTTGAGTTTTCAACAAACGTTTATAACTTTTACTTGGATCAAATGAGAGGATCCTCTTAATCTTGATTCCTTGAGATGCTATAATTAGCTGCACTCTCTTCTAATATAATGAATTGCTTTTGGGTCTCCACGAACCATAAATTATTGATCATCCACTCAGATTCCATCAATTTCATTGTGTTTTTAGGACATTTAAGTTTTTTTTTTCTTTTTTATTTATATTTCTTCTCCTGTGAACTTGGTGAAGTGAACACTAGTGCTGGCCATTTTTTTGTTCAAAAATAGGAGATGTGACACAAGTTTGTATGGACAGCCAAATTTCTCGTGGTTATATTCAACGGAATATTTTTTTTTTCAAATTTGCATTAAGTGTATATGATAGTTGTTTAAGGTACGTGCTTATCAGCAGTTATGATCACTCAGCATTTGTGTTTCTTTCTTGAATTTTTTTCTCCAAAAAAAATAAAAGCCTAAATAATTAAGTCCGGAGGTTCTAAATTACATCCGGATTCCTATAGAAACATATGTTTGGTCGATGTTGCTTAATCAAGACTTATTAAAGTCGTGAATAATATCTTTATATTTATAGATATATGTGTGTTATTTTTTGTAATTGTCATCAATTTAAATTTTTATTATACTATTTGTTTGTTGATAATCATACAAAGATTCAGATTTCTTTCTGTTGTGGTGGAAAATATACATTCAGTTTTATTTTCTTAAATGAAAATAGATTCGCTTAAACGATAAAATAACAAAAAAAAAATTTACACAAAATTTACTTAAGCAAATTTTACTTTTTTTTTTCAATCTTCTTCTCTCATTCTCTTCAATACTTAATATTTTCTTCTCAACATCAGTATTCAACTTTTTTTCTCCTCTCGTACACAATTCTTTTCTTCTCTCCACCCTATACCCAAATCATCTCTCCATCTTCTCACCTTCACCTCACTCCACCCTCATACCTACCTTTTCTTCTCTTTTTTCATACACAACTACTACACTTTTCTTTCTTTTTACCATTACTTTTATAACGCTTACTCTTCCCATCCTTATCTCATCTCTAGTCCCCTCTTCCCCCACACTTAATCTCTATCTTCTCAAGTGCATAAAATTTGCTTAAGTTAACAAAATTCATCTACAAAATTAGCTTAAATTCATTTAAGTTAATTTTGCAGTAATTTTTTTTTATTTTTTTTATTTTTACTTAAGCTAGTGTTCACTTATTGGATGCTCAGTTCCCACGTAACAGGAGAGAATTTGGATCCATCACACAATGGTAGCGCATCTTTTGATAAAATATCTATTTTAGAGTTTTTTACTCTAACATGTTTTACTTTGAAATAATGCAAATCTTTAATTAGGATGTGTTTTTTATTTTCTCAACTTACTCCTTTCAACTAAGCATCTCTTCATGTTAATATAACAATATTGAATAAAATTTCTTTTATAAGTTAAAATTTTAGAAAAGTTAAAGAAAGCATTAAAAAATAAATTAATTTTAATTTATGAGAAAAATTTAATTTATTTTACTACTTAATTTTTTTACTCTTATAAATACTTGTTGAAAAGTTTGGATGAGCTTGTGAATAAGTTAAAATAATACAAAAAATAAATAAGATCATGTTTATGTGAGTTTATAGATAAGTCATTGTAAGAAAAGAAAAATAATATAAAAATAAATAAAAAATTTATAAATTAAAATTAACTTGTATTTCTCTGTTTTTTAGAAGTTACTGTAATTTAACTTCTTTAAAACTTGAAGAAATAATTTATTTTTAATTTATAGAAAAATATTTATTTATTTTTTATATTACTTTTTTTCTTTACGATGACTTATTTATAAATTTACCTAAACATGATCTAAAAATTCTCTTTATCAGTTAAAATAACTTATTTGTTTAAATTTTAAAAAATTTTAAAAATTAATCTAAAAAAATAAAAATATTAATTAATTTCAATTTATAAGGAAACTTTAACTCATTTTACTACTTAATTTTTTAATTTTTATTTGGGTCTATCTCCTTTACGAGCGTTTTCTATTTCTTAATCATGACTAACATCAACCTCACTTATCTATTGAACCATTAATCATGACTATCATGATTTTCTTTAGTTTTCTATTTCATGAATTTTTCTTCAGATAAAAAAAATAAGACTTCTCTGGTAAAATTCAATGTCGAAATTTGGATCTGGGAAGGTCTAAGGTCCAGTGGATGGTGGACCAAAGGTTGGGGCAACTTGTTATGGATCAAGGGTCGTTTTGATTGGATCTGTTTTGTCGTCTTAAATATCACCCAACCCGATCGAGAAGCCCAGTGGTTTTTCAGTTATTTTTCTATTTGTCTGAAATTTTATTGAGTAAATAGTTTAATGTAGTTCCCAAAAAGTATATAACATTGATCATATTAGCGTCTAATCATAAAATGATTCTTAATGTCCCTAAATATGCACTTCGTTGAATTGCATACTCAATAATTTGATTTATTGAATGCATACTCAGGGACAACATTTATAGTTTCATTCATTCATAAACTAATATCTCCCAGGTTGTACTTTTTAACGACCAATCACTCTAATTTTATTCCTCTCTTGATAGTTACACTTTAGTGTATGCACTCAATTTTCATTAGCTCCAAAAATCCTGTATCTATTTTTAGGGGGGAAAGTTTACTGCTAGATCAGCCCGAAGCTTTTAACAAACGTCTAATTTCATCTTAATTTTGGATTGCTGTAGAGAAATTTTGGATTTTTAATAGTACTTCGATTAAATTAGTGCACCTTGCAACCAATTTTGAATTAAAATGTCGCTTTCACCGTTGTCTGAATCTCATAATCGCGTAAAATGGTTGCTTTTGCCAAATTGAGTTAAGAATTGTCTTTGGAATTTATCAAGCTTATGGCTTGTGTTCAATAAAAATATGAAATCAAACTTCTTCTCAAGTCTTCAAGACTTACTCTTTCGTCCTTTTCTTCCCCATCAATGAACAAGTGGAGAAAATTGATCTTAAAATGAAATATCTACACTCTACAACCTGCTTCCTGAAATTTCTGGTTCAACCACTGCTACTGATAGCAACATTCTAACATTCACAACATGATGATTGCTTTTTTATACAATATGTAGATTTCTATATTTTAAGAGAATGAGAGGGGGTGAAGGGGTTTATCCTTGTTCAGACTTCAACTGGATTATAACCATAAAATGTTTTAAATGAATTATGAATCCTTACATTTGTGTTTATAACACTCAATTGGTGAAATAAGGTAGCACTACTGGCAGCTAATCATGTTTCTTCGTATTCTTTAATTTGAATTAATAAACAATACAAACAACAAGACAAGTTATTGGGGTAAATTGCAATAATTTATCTTTGTCAGTATCGTGGGGTTCATAATTCACAAGGCAGTGTGCTGTCACGCTGCTTATACATGAACGTAGGGTGGACCAACAAAGGCGTGTTGTTACATACAAGTGACAAGACCCATATCCGCCTTATTTCCCGTTCATTTTACCTTGATTACCAATCCAATTAAGCTTTGAAGAGTCATGCATGCACCTTCTTTTTGTTCTCTTTAACTCATATTTTATGGTAATTTCTCTTGCCATCTTCACGGGCTAGCAAATTATTAATTTTTCCAAGACTAGTTAATTTGTTTCTTCGTGTGGCTTATCATACCAAGTCATGGACTAATGGTCCAACTGTCGAACTCATTATGATGATGAGGCACCCTTGTAACAATTGTCATATCTTACGTAATTTAATGTATTGAAACTGGTAAGTGCCCATGAGGCTGTGGGATCCACCAAGTGTTTTTATCTAGGGACATGCAGCATCAGAGTTTACACAACCTAGTTATTACACCTTCCATTTGCAGTATACCCCATCGTCCTCATTTCCCTAATTACATATTTGTCCACTCTAGCCACGTTGTGCCATTCGACATCAGTTGACCCCCTTAGAATATTCATAGGTTTCAAATCTCTACCACAGGGCTTACGTATCTAAAGATAAAAATTTTATGCTCTCTTTTTCACTCAAAATAACGAGAGTAGGAATGGTAAATGATTTTTAGCTTCTTTAGTTTTGCATTATAACCATATAAATATGTGTTTACTTTAAATGTTACTCATGATAATTTCTGCATTATATTTACGTTTATAGCTCTTCTAATGTAAATCTAAACACATACTCTGCATCAAATACTTATCCATATCTTAAACTCTACAAGGGCAATGATGCTGTTTTCTAGGTAAATTCATAACAATGATTGATTGTTCATTTTATCATTAAATATTTGAAAAATCATTGAACACAAATTAAAAATAAAACAATTGACAACTCACTTGAAATAATTGTACTTGTAAAAAAACAGAAATCTTGGAACACAATGGATTGAATGAGGAATGAGTATACGAGCGTGAGAGGCCCTCGTGTTGGACGTTGTTAAATTTGGTAGCCCATACAATTTGACTGGATTAGGCAAGGTCACGAAATGGTGGGCCATACCAATCTCCCCTATTAGATCCTACACTGCCCCACTTAACCAATGATTACTGTGCCTCTCCCATTCTCATTGGACATCTCTTATGTTTATTGTTAACTCACGTGGGTCGGTTTCTGTGATTAGTATCTCCCAGCTTAGCATCCGCCGCAGTTATGATAAAAACTCTCACATACCACATTTCATTATACTCTATAGATTCTTTTTCAACTTTACTTATATCTTATATACTACTACTATTGTTATTTTATAAAATAAAATGTAAATTAAAATATTTAATAAATGATAAAAAAGATTTATAAACATAATACTCATAGTACTAATTATTAACATGTTTTAGAAAGAAAAAAAAAAACTCCCTCAATATTAGTCTACACGTTCACGCGGCAAAGCTAAATGCCATGCACAATAAATGCCTCACATTGACCTCTGCAATTTCACTCTTTCCTTTCCAACTACCATTGGCTCTTTCATGCCTCTTCTCTTGTGTGTTCTGCTAGTTCGAGTAGTAGTTATTATGACAACTAGAGTGTAACCTTTGTAATGGAAACCTACCTCTTTTGTGACAACCCAGCAACACATTAGCAACGATTCGTGTTTGTATCTTTGTTGGAAGAATTATAGTTTCTATCACAGGAAAGAAACTAACCACAATGGGTTGTTGCGTGAGTAGTAACAGATCTTCACTCTCAACATCGTCACCAACGAGAAGCAAAGCATGTCAAGCACCAAGATCTAGCACGAAAGGCTTAGAAAACAGAGCACCCCCTCTTGAGGAAGAGACAGTGAAGGAGGTGTTGTTGGAAACACCCAAATGGCAACCGAGCGTGGCGAAATTTGAAGCAGAGAAGCCAAAGAGTTTTGAAAAATTCGAAGGAGGAGATAGCAAATTGGTTGAGAAGTCATTGAACAAAGCCGATGAGATCTCTGAAGTCTCAGAAGTTTGCAGCTTGAGCGAGAGCGTGTCCACAACTACATTCACTGAGGAAGAAACGCGCCACCAAAGGGTCAGTAGATCTCCGGCGAAGGTGCGAAATAACCGCTCTCTCTCCGGTGACTTCGGCGCCCGGAGAGATAGGACGGCTGGGAAATCTCCGGCGAGGAGGTCGGAGCAATCCCCGGGGAAAAGGAATGTTGGGTCTGTCAGAATTGTTCAGAGCAGAGATCAAATGGGCAATGGGGGAATCGGTAACCAGCATCGCCGGCGAGACGCCGGCGAGAATTCCGGTCGCCGATCCAGGTCGCCGGCTACCCGCACCGACAATGGAGCAACTAGATCCGTGGTGGGTCGGAGTCCTTCTGCGAGGAGAACGAATCAATCCCCGGGTCGGGTCAGAACCGCCGCGCCGGGAAGTGTTGGCCGGAAAATGGAGAATTCGAGCATGGAGGGTAAATGGCCATCATCATCTAACGAGTCTCTAGAAAATCCTCTTGTGTCATTGGAATGCTTCATATTTCTCTAGGCAAAGCAATTATGGCGGTGGTGGCGGCACCATAGAGTAGGTGAGATTGGTGCTAGAGTCCTAGTTATTTAGTCATTATTAGTAACTCATTAATTTGTGTACTTTCTTTAATTAATATCGGAAGGTAAGCAATTTGGGTGTAAATATTTGAAGTCAATGGTCAAATTAGGGACTTTATGGGAGGGAAAGAGAGACAGTGGATGATTTGTCCCAAGTCCCAACATGACCTTTTGGATAGTTGAATACGTAAATTCTAATGCTAGTGGTAAAAAATTGACCTCTGTTTTACTTCTATTGCACCACTGCTCTGTTCATTTTTCTCCTCTGGCAAGTTAGGAAAGATTGCGTTTCTGCCATATTGATTTAGTCTGCACCAAAATATTCACCTACGCTTCTGTGACAACGAAAGATTCAACCTTACGGTGAACTACAGAGTTGAATGAGAAGACAAATCATAAAATGTATTCAACTTTTTTTACTATAAAATTAAAATTTGTATAAAATCGGTTGTGTGTGAGTAATTTGCAAGGGTTATTTTAAGTTCCATTAGCTATTTTATGATATTGGTAGAGCTGCAGGACATTCCACTAAATCAAAAACCACTGCATAAATGCGGTAATCATGAAGCGAGGACTCCAACATAGTCCCGACAATAGAATTCTTTCTATTTGGTTGGCCTTAGCATCATGATCCCCAAAATAGGATTCTTTTTTAACCTTGATAGAAAGCATGCCATGGTTTTTATTTGCAGGGAGCAATACAAGAGAACCAAACATCATTATAATTTATTTTATATATATGTTTTCACTTGTATTGTTGAAAAATATGCTAGTAGATGTGAATATTATGTTATGCTTCAACTTAAACTTTTAAGCCTTAAGGTCATAAGTCATCAAACTTTATAAATGGTGCCTTTTTTCTTGCACATGTTATTCTATTTAATAATTTTTCACTTGAGGTACAATACATTTATGTTTAAATTTTGCAGCACTGTTTATAAAGAATTTTATCATAATGACACAAGCTTTTGTATTATGACTCAAGAGTTTGCAAGAAAGTATCGCCAATCTGAGTGATTTATTTGTTTAAAATGTTTTAAGTAATTTAAATTATATTCATTTTATTTATATATTTTAATTTATTATTAAATTAGTAATGCGAAATTTGGTTATCTCTAAAAGTTTGAAGAGTTTGAGATGCCCATGCGATTTCTAAAATTATTGTTCTATTTGTTTTTCATATATATAATTAATTTGGTACATTTGTGTTAATATTAAGAGAATTATAAATAAAATGTTTTAGAAGATATAACTACCCCCTCCCCCAACGTGAGCCATGTCCCACAACATTTTGTTATAAATAAACTCACAACATTTAATATTTGAACTCTAATATATATTTTTTATATTAAAACAAACAGTTTTTCTCACGAGAAACTTGTGTTTGTAGCCGATGAGACAGGGAAAATTTAATAGTAAACCGTTAACGGTGGTTTCTTTTGGTGAATAAAATGTTTGGCAGCATATAAAGCATTTTGGACTGTTTCTTTGAAGTCGTCCCTTTCGAGCACAGAGACAAACAGTTGATTAGCATCAGTGATGTGGAGAAAGAGGGAATGTGGAAGCCTCACAAGTTTTAAAAATCAACCCAAAAGAGGAGCACTGCAAATCCTACCTATTGTCCACACCTTTGGGTTTTTACTTCGCTAGAAACCAAAAACAATACCAATCGTATTATAAATCTAAGCTACGCATCAGAAAAGAGCATGGAATATCGATCGGGTTTTGACAGTCCTCGTCAGCCGGGATCAATAAATTTTTTACCTTTGAAATAATAAATATAACTAATTTAAATACAACATGTTAATTAAAAATAAAATTAATATTTTTAAATAGGATTAGTAAAAATATATAAAAATATTTTTAAAATAAAAAAGTAAACATTACAATAAAATATTAAAATAATATATATGTATATAAAATAAAATTAGAAATAAAAATCTCTTTATTTTAACAAAAATCCATTAGTAACAATTTATCACTTCTTAACAAACTGAAAAAAACAAAACAAAATTCTAACGAAAAAGAATAAAGAAAAAAAAGTGGAGAAACTAACAAAATTGTAGAATATATAAATAAATAGATGAATTGTTATTAAAAGAGGGGGTCACTCGCAGAGGCACTTAGGCAAAAGAATCATTCTGGTCAACAATAAAGAAGGAGAAAAAGAGAAAACAAGGTTTTTCATATCTCTTTTCCTAAAAAAATGGCACCAATCTCTGCATGCAAGAATTGGGTTGATATCCTTCGTTTCTTCTATTTTACCAAGCGTGCCTTTTACTCCATGACTGTATTTTTGGGATCCAAAATCTTGTTTCATCATTTTTATATTACTTTCTTTCTTTTTCGATTCAAGTATGCAAACCATTTATGTTAAGAACTGAAAAACTAAATCAGGATAAGGAGAAGATGAGCATTTACTTCTTGTATCTTGGTCATCCTAACGTCATAAATGTTAGTATCATGTTTTTTATTTGAGTCTCCAAAATGTATATTTGTTATAATATCATCATTATACACATCTCTTTCTTCTCCACCAACCTCTATTCTATCTTTTTTTTAAAATTTTATCTACCATCATTACTTACATTCATACTACATCCTACCTCATCATCATATCATTTAATTAAAACCTGGCAAATAAATTTGGTTTTGATATAGGATACTCTACATGCATTTCAATATTTTCTAAATATTTTATTGCTCTTTCCATTTTCAAAGCATCTTTATCATCAATGAATTTTTTTAAATCTCCTTAAGTTTTTTTCACTTATTTTATATCAATTTCTCTCTATGATTGCATAATCCATGTTTTTATTTTATTCAAACACTTCCAATAATCTTTCAAAAGTCCATATTTTGATATGTTCTATGATCTATATCTATACACTTGGAGCCTATTTTATTTTGTAGGTGTTTCACATTAATTTTATCATTAATTTTTACAGTTAAGCACGAAAGAACTACCAATACATTATGAGTATATTTCAAACAAAAATCGAATAATTGTAATTGACCTTGCAAGAAAGTACAATGGTGCATCACTCTCGTCATAGGCATGCTTCATTATCTAGCACGACAGTGCTGGATGATAATGCATGACCATACTGCTTTAATCTGTTATCTAAATTTGAAATTTAATTTTAAAAATTTGAGAATTTGAATCTAGATAGAATTCAGAAAAGTCAAAAGAGGTTTTAGTCTAAATTTGGAAAAGTTGGCAAAATTGATTTCCATTCAAAAAGATAAAGCCCAACAGGTGAAGATCGAGTGACGATCGGAAACTCAATGCACACCCTATATAAAGAGGTTTTATGTTACTAAAGAAAAACACTTTCTACACACCATCTTCTTTCCCTAAATTCTAACTTAATCAACCATTGAGAATTATTAAAGATTATTGACAAAGACAATGAGTGAGCCTTCAGAGTTTAAACAAGTGTTTGAGCGTCCCTTGAAGAACAAGAGCTACTTCCATCAATTTTCCTTTTAGGCCTTTTTAGTTTAAATTTTCCTTTGAGTTTATGGATTTGTTTATCATACTTTTCGTTGTTTGTTTTGTTATGGGTAACTAAATCTATAACTAGGGTTATGGCTGGTTTTATTGCATACTCTATGTGATTTTTATGTTTAATAACGATATTGATTTCTTTTTTAATGTTTAATTTTTATCCTATTGAATTGAATTTTGCATGTTAAAAATCGATCACCCTTAGCATTTCATAGTTAGTTGCATTATAGGCGACCATATCACATGTAATTAATAGAACTATAAGATAAAACGAGATAAGAGGTTAGGTGGATCAAACTTAATTCTTCTCTTCCAACTGTTATTAAATTAATAAACTTATAGAGTTTTTATATTTTCTCTATCCTTTACCTTGCATTATTGTTGGGAATAATTACTTAGAAAAAAGAATACTAACATTGCATGATCATTGAGTTTAAATAGAATAAGTATGGGTATTGGTAAACATTAAAGAAAGTAATATTGAAATTAAAATAAAAAAAACATAGAAAGGTGTAATAGGTGAAACCATATGCCCTAGGTCTTCTCATCTAATTTATGTCAAAAACTAGTTTTGTGTTTTTTCAATTGCTCTTTGAATTTAAATTCTACTTATTTTTAATTAACTACACATTCTTTTAGTTTAAGCAATTAAATCAATGTATTATTAATACTTGAAAATAATATTTATAGAACGATAACTTAGGAACTTAATTTAAAAATTCTTTGTTACTTTTTGACATAACAATCTTTATCTATTTTTAAAAGCACTACTTTGTCACTTTCATAGGTAGTTTTCTTTTCCTTCACAGAATTACTTCCATAGTGAACTTTAATGACAAACCTAGTCATATCCTAATACAAAAGGTATTCAAGTAAATAATCAATAACAAATAAAACGTACAAAGGCAAAATTCAAAACAAAAATATAATGTGACAACTATCCATGTAGAACTACAACCTTTTTTTCCAAAACTTTCTATGAACACTCAAAACTATAATATAACAAAGAAATATCTCCAAAACTAACAACAAACATAAAATAAACTCAATAATTTTGCATATGAACAATGCCAAGATTCTTAGATGAATGTTGTTTAAAAATTTCACAAGATTTTCTTAACAATTTTGCCAACATACAATGATAAACTTTGCAATTTTTTCTTCTTTTAATATGTGCTTTTTCTAAGAGTTTATGTTGTATGAACAAAAAAACTATCACTTTTAGAAAAATCATATAATATTATCTTATTCCACGTCTATTTTCATGTCAGTAAAATTAGTGATACTGGTAATTAAGTTTAATAAAAAAGATTAATTTAAACAAACTTACAACATATGAGACCTATATGAGGGAAAAGTCAAAACAATTATAAGAGTTAAGAGATCAATCTACTAATTTAGCATATTATTTATTTTAAAAATTAATGATTATGGTTGATGTAATAATTCATAATTAAATGATAATTTAAAATCTTTTTACACTGTTATTATATAAATTAAATTCTTATATATACCATATATTATTTTAAAATTAATTAATATAAAAATCAATATTAAAAACCTTAAATTATTAATTTTAATTAAACTCTAAATTATATATAATCTTATTTAAATATAGACAGTCTGAAAAAATAAACACTTAATTCTTATAATTGAATTCCATACCATCAATCCTAATAAAAGGATACTGTTATCCCCAAGTTCCAACTCAAAAAACGTCACCTCCCCGACATACTATACTTTCGTTTTTTTTCCTCCAACAAGCAAAGGATGCACATTGCACATGGATGAGGGAGAATATCATGTTTATACTACCAAAAGGTACTCGTTTTGCTCCTGAATAAAATTAAAGAGAAAAAAAAATTGTCAAAACTACACGTCCCATTCAACCCAAATATGATATGTTATTTCTATACGAAAACAACTTCTAAGAAACTTTGTTGTGGAATCTTATAGAACATGCAATGATAGACTAGAGTTTTTTGATGGGCCAGAGAAAATGTCCATGCTGGCCCAAGAAAAAGAGCATCTTCATAGGCCTAAAACTCGTAAAGGGATTGGTAAGCCTGATAAGCCCAGTCTTAGAGGTGGTGGACACCCATAAAGCCCACTATGTAGCTCAACCATGCGGTAAATGAATGATTTCTGCTGGCACATAATATACGAGTAAATGCAAGGTTGAAGGAAGCATATACACTTTAATGCACTCCACATAGTACATATGAGTAAATAAATGGTCGAGAGAAATATGTATACATTGATGCCCTCTACAAGACAAGAGTAAATAAATAACTGAAGGACAACGTCAAGTTATGGTCGTTTGCCACTCACCCTGTCAACTCACAATGGACCAATTTCTAGAGCAGAGTTCTAATACCGTCATTGACCATGGGTATGTTTGAACAAATATAATTTTATAGAACTAAGTTTTTATCAAAATTTTTAAATAAGGTAATTTATGTCAGAAATTTTATTTTAAAAATGAGTTTACAGTAAATTTTAAAATATTTTCTTAATTTAATGCAAGAATTATAATTTATCACTTTAACTCAAACATAAATTTAAAAATATATTTAAATAAAACAGCAAGCAAATATAATATTTTGTAAAATCACATTCAGTAAGAGAAACACAAATCCGAAGTCAAAATTGATTTTGATTTCATTTTTGTCCAAGCATGAGAATTTAATGCTGAAGTTGGAGTGCTGCTTTACCGCATTAGCTTTTAATTAAAAATTCATTGCTGCAATCACAATCGAGGAAAATGGACAAAATGATTGTTGCTATACACGAGTATAGCATATTAATGTAGGTCCAAGACCAAACAAAATAATTATGGTAAAGATTATTCACGTGTTATTACCAGCCTCACAACATTATTTTGAGTATGCGCGTGGGTTTTTATCATGGTATGTCTAAAGTATGGTCCTTGCTTGAGTGCAACATAAAGAGGTTTTGATGATTTGTTGTTCATCTTAAACTTTACTTGAAGAGCACAACACTCCATGCATTGAGAACCACTGATTTTAGATTTACACTGAAACCCCAGAGCTTCAATCAGGGAGGAACATTTGCACTAAACTAAATCCTATTTACATGGTATATTATAAACTATAAAGAGAGCTTCTCTGGGTAAAAATGAAAGGAAAGTAAAGAGTAAAAACCTACATAAGAGTCTATTCTTTTCACATAAAATTTATCAACTCCTTGATGCAATATGCAGATTGCAAAACCTTGTCCTATTGAATTGTGTCATACTTGGTTGATACTCGGCAGGGTGTTGGAAGTGGAACAATTTATTGTGTTATGTTGCTGATGGGAAGGCCATGAAATGCGTTCAGGGCAACATGGTGCAGGGGCAGGGTGGGCTATGAAAGTAGGAATCTCATCTCCAGGCATCAAAACTGAAACCCAGCTGGCATATAAACTCATCTGCACAAATTACACAACCTGGTGAATTCACTTTTTTGCAGATTCATCAATTTCAGAGTAAACATAATTGGTAATTTTGGAATACAAATATCTTTTCGCTCTAGATATGCAAGCAAATATAAATACGAACACGATATTTTTCTAAATTATAATATTGCACATGATAAGAAGTTATGTATTAGTTTTTATTTCTTATTTTAAAGTTAAAAGCAATTTAATACAATGATATTATTCAATGATAATTTTTATAAAATTTTACTATATATAACTTTTATTATGTGTAATATTGCACAGGTTAGAAAATAAATAAAAAACTCACATTATAATAGATGAATCAAATTCTGCTATCCAGCATAGCTGGAATGAAAGAGTTATTTCACACCAAGGGTGGACCAGAAATCAAACTAGAAAGGGCTTGACAAATCATTGTCCACTGAAAACTTCAGAGGAAAGCAACAAATGCTTTTTTATTTTATCAAAGTTTAAAAAGACATTACTTTCAACATCACATGACACGTTCATGCTAGTAGCATTAAATGTCTGGTTGATAACCACAAGACTTGTTTTAGGGCCAAGCAATTCAAAGCCTGCAAAGATCTATCTATTCATACATATTTGTACATAAATATGGTAAGGCAACAAGTGCATGATTGTTCCTAGTTTAATTTCAACACAATAAGCAAATTCATTAAGACTTGAAGAGAACCCGTTAATCAAAAGGAAGAAAAAAAACTAATTTGTCTATCATGGATTTTCAGCAAGATTCAATCAATCAGATCGGTACTTTCACTACTTTGTGACAGTATTATGATGGTGAGGAGGAACAACACTATTTGCTAAAAACATTTTGAAGTGTAATACTCAATCACACATGTATGCATCAAATATGTAAGCAAGCACATAGGAAAAGTAAAGTAAATTGTGTCTTCTGCAATAAGTTAATAATATAAATTGTAAAGCTAAAGCATTAATGAGCCCCTACAACAATTATCATTAAAAGAAACAATGATTAAGCAGAATTGAGCGTAAATTGTTTGCATGAGATACTATACTAAGCTGACAATCGAAGGCTCGGCTAGTGATTTGCATCCCATCACAATGTGCACAGAATCTTCTCCAGGTGGCTTACTTGTGTATAAAATGAAATAAAATAAACAACACATTCATTGAACCCAACACTGCTATTTCTCATTTCTTTCAATCTGGACATGTTATATAAGGCACAGACATCATCCAACATCGTATCATACATTTGACTTTTAACACATACACACACAATATTACATAAAGGAGATTAAATGTGTCCACCTAGATATTAACAGACAGATTGAGACATGGATCCATAGAAAATAAAGTAATAAAAGTATGATAGTTGCCTTTGGATTAAAAAAATCTATGTTTGCATATATAGAACATGTTGAGTTTCCTAATTAATAATTATTAATGAAATCTTTGCTTCACATCTTAAACATTTGAGAATTGAAATTGGTGAGTTTAAAATCACTTCCTTCTCAAGATACCGACAAAGGCAAATACTTCTCATCATAGGTGAGTTTCTGATCACTTGGTATTACAATTAGCTGTTCAGAAATCAAAATATATATTTATACCCTTCCGTATGATCTGCTACTGTGATTTTAAACTGACTTTTAAATTAAATAACTTGATTAGTAAGATAAAAATTACTCACATGGTCTGAGCGCCTAAGTGGCATCATTACCATAAACAATAAAAAGAATCCCTGACACAAGCCTAAGTGCAGAAGCATGTTCTCTAAAATCCCATATTCTGTATTCCATTAACACCATAGTGAAATCCACAATGTGATCCAAATGCCAAACAAATAAATAATTAAATTCTATATTATTTGTAGACTTTTGCATTCAAAACCTCATTGGCTAATAGTAGGGAATCATTAATAATTTTGTTAAAGTTGAGAGAAACAACTCCACGGGCAATGTCCCAATCAAGTTGGTGCCCTCCAACAGAACAACGAGGTTGGATAAATAAGTGGGCCTAGTGTGTTCCTCCAAAGTAATGGCACAGGGTAGACAACACAATTGTTGCATGGTACTGGCTCATCATATGAAAATACATTTGAAACCAAATCTAAAATATTGAAAAAAAGTATTGGCCAGGAAAAATGTAGAACAAAACCGAATATATATCGTGGGGTTACCTTCTGAATTAGTAGTTAGTAGGATAGACAATCAATGCTAAAGATAAGAAGAACATAAAATAATATTAAGTTGGGTTGACCATCTGTCTCAAACCACAAGCACCAGCCATGTACGGTATCAATAAAGATTGGAGGTGATGGTGCAGGTGAAAATCAAGGACAACGATGTGGGTCTCAACTTCCACGCAAAGATGGATAAGTAAGTCCAAAGACTCATGGCTAGGGACCAATGATTCAACAGAAAACTTCTACTGAAGGACCATGTCCATATAAAAAGCAGAAGACAACACAATCCACTCATAATTAAGGTACTTGACAGAACGTGTAAATGCAAGGGGAATGAAATGAAAAATTTGGTGGGGTTATGATAGGCTTCTTAAGTTCAAATAGAAAAAAAAATTAAAGAGAAAAAAAAAGGCTTTGTCAGATACTGAATTCATATTTGACAAGATTTACCCCTTTTTTCCAAAGAGAAACTGGAGATTAACGACAAAGAGGACCGAAAGGGCTAAAACACAGTAACCTACCAGAGTATCTCTTTACCAACGCTAAGAAAAGCACAAGCATTTGAAAGTTTGATCTATTTGAGGATGAAAGAAAGAGCAACACCCTTTAGTGTTAGGCCAACAGGAAAATCTCTAATGGAGGACCATAGTGTTTGAAAAGAATATAAGAGGCAATGGAACAGGAAAATGCACAGAACATCTCCATAAAAGAGATCAAGAATGCATATTGCATAATATTAATGAAGGATAACAGTGGAATAGATGATGAGAAACAAACAGGAAAGGAAGATTTTGAATTGGTCACTTGGACATGGCAGAGAGATTCATAAGAAAAAAAAAAGGCAAGCAATTAATTCTCATTAAAAAAACAAGATCCAATATTCGTAATCAGAAAGAAGCAATTTTATGGGAGTGAAATTCAACAGCCAAAGATGCAAGTAAAAGGCAACCTAGAAATAACCAAAAATTACATAGAATAACAAAAGCTTTTTGTCAGATAAATAATCATCACTCATCCAGAAACTAAAATAACTGCCCATATTGAAACCAAAATAACTACCCCAACTTGAAAAAAAAAAAAAAGGCATCCAGAGGTGGAAGAAGAAAGAGAAAACTCTGCATTTTGGTTGACGGGAAACGTGAAAGAAACCAAAGAGAGAGAGAAAGCCAACGAACACTTAACAACAGAGAAGTGGAAGAAGCAAACCAAAAGCAAAAAAGTTGCAGTCTTTCACATTGAACAATGAATGCTTACACTCACACAACACACCCCAAGAGAGAGAGAGAGAGAGAGGATGAGTTATTGTCTAAACTTTGACGACTTACTTTGGGAGAGGGGTGAGCGAGCTTGGCACAGTCGAGACGGCGACGGGTCCGGCGACCGGACGGCGAGAGTAGTGGCGAAGTGGGTCTGAGGAACCTCTCAAAGATAGCCATGACTAAGAACATGGAAATGAGAATGGCAGTGGCAACAAAGCCAAAAGAGACAGCATTGACAGAGGTATCAAAGTTGCTCCAACGTTGATCATCTCTCTGAAGGTTGAGTGGGGCCCCAATTGGTGGCCATCCATTGTCATGATCTTGTACTACCATTACCATTATTCTCCGTTTTACCATTTCAGTTTCACTCACTTCCTACACTAGCATATTCAGAACACAACACAACTCAAATATGAGTTCAGTTTAGTTGAGGCTTGGCTTCATACTTCTCACAGTCACACCACTCGTATTAATTTAGTACTTCAAGAGATAGAAAGGGAGAGAAGCATGTGGGGTGGCCGAATGGTGAAAAAAGGAGAAACCTTGGAATTTGGATAGGACCCTGTTGCCTGTGCTGTGTCCTTTGTTTTTCTGTTCGAGAAAAACGATAAAAAGCTCTTTCACTCTTTAAATTCGTCCTTTATGCCCTGTTTACTCCAAAAACACTCAAACGGGGAAACAAAAGAAAAATCAAACAACATAAATATAAATACAAAAATTAATTAGAAAAGGTCGTAAATTTTTTTTAACGAGTATAAAATAAAAAAAGTGTTTCCTACGGTGTTTATAAATTATGCTATTTTTAAATTAATAATTATGATTATTTTAATATTTTAAAAATTAATAATATTTATATTTTATAAAATGAATCACTTAATTTTATTATACTTTCTCATGTAAAATAAATATTATTATTAAAAAATATATAATAGACAATAAAAATTAATAATCTATTTTAAAAAATATAAATATCTTTGAAATATTAAAAATTATCATAAAATATATAATATTTTCTTAAATTTACAGATATAGTAACGAGTATTATATATTTAATATAATATTAACAGTAATAATTATAATATTAAATATTTTTTTAATCTCTGAAGTATAGTAAAAATTACTAATAAAAATTATATTAATTTAATTTAATTTAAAAACTTTAAATTTTTATTATAATAATTTCAAATATAAATTTATTTATTATATTGTTAAAAATTAGTTTTAAGTTTTCCTTCATTTAATTTTGCGTCAGTTTAGAGAATTTCTTAAATTATATTGTGAAGGCTCGTTTATTTTATAATTAAAGAAATAATTATTACGTTCTTAATATAAAACACATATTTGAAGTATACTATTAAATTTAATTTATACACGTTTCAAAACATTTAGTAGTTTAAAATTAATTTTATTTAACTTTAATATAAATAAACACTTATTAATGCAATTATCTTATTTTTTCATTTTTACTCTTATTTTCTTCCATCCAAACGCAGTGTTTGCTTTTGCACTATTTTTGCTTTAAAAATTGGATTACCTCGCTTTAGAAAAAAAAAAAAAAAAACACTTGATTTTATACCCTCTCAAGGTCCGGTTACGTAAAGTAAATTTTTAAAAAAAATGCTGTTTGAACGTATATATAATTTTTAAGAAAAAGTCATAAAAAAATATGATAAGATAAAGAAATTAAATGTGAAAATTGCAACTTAAAAAAATTTAATGATTAAATAAGTGACACATTTATAAGACGAAAACAGTTCAGAGAAAAAAAACAAAGGAAGGGTGACTTTGAGTTTCGAGTATTTTGACGTTATGCATGTGTATACATTTTTTAAATCTCATCCTAGATACCACTGTCCAGTGATCTGCGGCACTGATGATGAACAATATTTTTGTTTTTTTGGCTCACATGAAAAAATGAAGTTTTCTTACGAGTTTTACTTCATTTTTTCAAGAACGCCCATGTTCGAATTTTATATCAACTATTATAATATTTTAAGCTAAATTAAATAAGTCATTATAGAGTTATTTTATAAATTTAAGGCCTTATATGATGATTAGAATTATTGTCGATTTTAAGTTTTAAAATTAAAAAAATTAATTTATATTTATCCTGTAATTTTTATTTTTTTATTTTTAATATTTAATGTTAAATTCTATATTTAAAATACGTAAATTATTTATTACTTCTTTTTTTAAATTTTGAGTGATACTTAATAACAATGTAACAATTTTTTAACTTTTAAAATTTGTGATACAAGTATTTTAAAATTAAGTTAAAAATTAATTCAAGTTCATTTTAAATAATTTTTTTAATATTTAAAAATTAAAACTATAATTCGCGACAATCTCAAGTAGACTTTGGAATAGTTGTCAAGTTAACATGATTTGGACTTGGGTGTTTCATCAGCTTCACTAACAAAAGCTTATTTATTTTTTCTTATTTAAATCACAAATAAAAATGTAAACTCAACCCGAATTCTCATTTTCATGTGTTAAGCAGATCATGCAACTTAAAAGTCGATTTAAAACAATTAAAATAAATCAAAATTTAAAAAAATAAATTTATTTAGACTTATAATTTAAAACTCAATTCTTATATTTTACAAAACTTGATTGGATTGACCCAATTAAATTAATCTATTTTACTACTTGTATTTTTTTAACGCTCAAACTTAAATTTATGCATTCCAGAGGAGTTCTAATTCTTTTAGCACTGATAAGTCAGTTATTCACTTTTTTACAAAACAAAATATTTAAAAAGTCTATATGATAAGTAATAAAGTTATTTAACATTTTGAATTAAAATATGTAAAATTTCATTTTGAGGATACAAAATAAACAAATATTAATAAACATTATTAAGACACCCATTAAATTTTTAATAATATGATATTTTTAACAAATAATTGTTATTAATTTTGTACGGCTGTTCAGTAAACTAACAACATAGTCATTTAGATACACTTGGAGAAAGTCAAGTCTATATTAAGTCAAGGAAGATAAGTTGAAGGATAAATGCCTCTTTCAAAAGGTTCTAGTCATTCCAATGTGTGAATTATTATATCAATTGATTTGTTCTTAGGGTTGTCGACATTTTTCTCTGATAAAATTACATTTTTGTGATGCAATACTGTGCGCATGTTTGGTGACATATATTCTGTGAGAAAGAATTGTATATCTTTTTAAATTTTTATCTCAAAATCGATTAGAAAAAAAGTGCTTATCTTCTTTAAAACATATTCAACTAGACACATTATATTCTTGCATAAATGCATCATAGAGTGCAACTCAAATAAATACTATGTGACAAAACTACATATTTTATCCACTACTTTTGTTCAAATGTTTGGTTTTCTCTCCTACCCTAAAGTTCAAAAGTTAGGTTGAGCTTCTTCGACAGTCTCATCTGTGTTGTAATGCTTATTGGCAATTTCTCTTTCAAAGATACGTCAGCTAGCTTTTTAGTTGCATATTTTTCAGAAAAAAGAAAAGAAAAGAATAAATAAATCTTCTTGTTTATGTCTTTACCTGGCTTTTGGTCATCGATATGAGAAGCTCTTCACTTTTAATCGTGATTCTGGATCTTTTTTCCACTTTGTTACTGATGAATAATATTTCCCCATGTCTAATCCTTTTATATATGATTGAAATTGCAAGCAAGGGATGACCGAAATTTCTTCCATGAAAAAAATGCTTCCTTCAAAGTTTCAATCATGCAAACTTTGTGTCTAATCAAAATACGACAAACTTTACTTAAACTTTGTGACTAATTTCTCAATCATATCCAACACATGATATCACTAACATCTTTCATTCTCCCTTAAAAGAGGAAAGAGGGACAGATAACATCCTAGTTATGACTTCCCAGCCATAAAATCCACCGCTTAATTAATGCCCATAAAAATATAAGCGTTTTATTTAGTTGTTGTTTTTCATTATTAAAAAGAAATAACTTTGAAAGTACCTACGTTTTTAAGACTTTCTTAAGTAATTACCCAGTTACGAAATATATCGGTTATCCTTAAAAAAATTAAATTATTAATAAGGTACAAAACTTAAAAATATAAACTTTATTATACACACACACATATATATTATCATGTATATCCGTATTTACATAATTTGAATATTTATAAATATATTATTTAATAAGAATTTCAAACTAAGCTAAGGTAGATTTTATATTTTATAAAAAATTATTAAGTAATATGTATTAAACTAGAATTGTTGTTGACTTGACACTTATAATTAATAATGTTTTGAGTAACTGTTGCTTAAAAGAAAAAAATAAAAACATCAAACTTATTGCTGAAAAACAAGTTCCACGTACAATTAATGAAATGTATATTAGTTTGTGAATTTTGTTTAGTAATTTTTTTAATGTAATTGGACCCGTAGGACGAAGAGTTATTCAAGTTTTATAAAGTGGGGAAAAAATGTGTCATTTAAGGCCCATATAAAAATTGTAAAAGGTAAGGATAAACCTTCCAAAGGATTGCATAATTAGGAATGCTCTAACAATCTCAAAAAGAAGAATGAGATTCACTTACATTGGAATTTACATAAAGAAGACTTTATGGGAAAAAAGAAAGAAAAAAAGGGAAGCAAATGCTTATTTTTCTTTTAGCAGTTCTAACAGATGAATAATGTTTTAATTAAAAATTATGTGAAACCACTGTATTACCGCACATCTTAATGTGTTAAGTTAATTGCAAGGTTAGTATGGTCACTGTGTAATTTGTGGTCCTGACATTTTCATTATTCTTTTCTCTTTTAAAAAACAGTAACATGGACCATACACCACTTTCACACTGCAACTACCAGTCCTGCTGGTCGTAATTTTTTATATTTTAAATAACATATGCTTGAGTAAAATAGGCCTGAATTAGCTTAACTTAATTTCAAAATAATTTTAGCTTATTTTTAAAAATAATTTATGATTATTATTATTAACCATAAAAATGATCGAATCTCTCTCAAAAGACCTAAATACTACGACCATGAATGTTGTCAGGTTACTGGTCATTTAATGTTGTCATTAACTATATTATTATCATTGTTAACACTATATCTTTACTTTAGACATTGTTACTATGATTAATAACGCTACAAACATTGTTATTATGTAATTAACATTGTTAGTCACTTTTATTACTAAAAAGTCTCAAATGAGGCTAGGATAAGAAAGTGACATGCAATTTCTGTGGTTTTGATTAAAAAATAATATCAAAATTTAAAAGTTAAATATTAAAAAAATTGAACGCCATTATTGGTTTTTATAAATGTTTAATATCCTTTATCTTTGAAAACACGATCATTTTTAATTTTAATATTTATATATATTTTTGTTTACATCATTGTGTTCAACAAAAATATTTATTTCAGTGGTTCTCCAAAGATATAAATAATCTCTTTGAACACGTCTCTAACTTTTCTAATTCCTAAGCACACTCTAAATGAGCCTCCTGCGGCGGTAATATATGTTGGATTCATTTGGTCCAGACAATGATAAAGATAATGATTAGGTTCACTTAATTCTCTTAAGAGTAAATATTGAATTTTCTTCTCGAGTATGGAAACATTGAACTCGGATCTTCTGCAGTCATTTTTTTCTGCAATTATTGTAGTCACTATATATATATAGTAATGTATTCATTTTTGAGAACAGTAGACTTGATAATTCTCTTGAAAAAGACGTAGGTGTGGATATAAAAATTGAAATAAATTATAAATATAGAAATATATAAAATTCTTTATATAATTGCAAGAATGTTGTTGAAAGAGAATAATTTAATATTATAATTTTTCTCCATCTTTATGGTTTATGGAAAGAATTGGGGTGCTTTTTGCATGCCTCCAACTCCAAGGATGCGCTGCCATTGTTTAAAATTATTGTTGATATCAATTCATAAACATTGTAGCTCTGCACCATTTCCTTCATTCGCTACCTCTTCACCCATTTCATAAGGCCTCCACGAATTTTAATGTAATTTAATTTATAGCATGATGCATCATAATTCAAAGAATTATTTAACAAGCCAAGTTCCTCTAATGCAAATCTAATTGAGTTTAACCAATACGCAGTAAACAAGAAACAGAGCACATGCTGTATGCACTCTCTCTCCCTTCCCATGCTCCACGCCTATAATATCCTTCCATCCTTTCCATCCACGCTTTGCCATGTGCTTCCGCTGAAACGATAGGTCGTTTTGGAGCGAGACCATTGATCCTACTCAGAAAACATCTAATGCACCCTCACGTCATACTATATTTTTCGGGCACTGCTGTGATTTTTTACGTGATATTTTTCAAATTATAATTTTACTGTTAAATCAATCTTATGTGTGTCTATTAAATAAAAACAAATGTCACATTAGATCTAGACTACAATCATTTTTTATTGAAGCGAGTTAAGAGAATAAATGAATAACAATTTTTAAAAAAAGTATTTATGTGAAACTTGAATTCGAAATCATTAGATTAGTTAAGTTAATGTGTTTGGTTTACATAATTTGACTGTTTTACTTTACTAAAAAAATATATGTTAAAGAAAGAATGGATAGTATTTCCATTTTTTGTGATGCACAAGAATACGAAACTATAATATTGTCGACCTTTTAAGGCCCAAACCCAACATGTGGACCTCGAGATTGTCTCCAAAATCAACGGTTCAGATGAGAAAAGGAACAAATCATGTTCGTCAAGGCCAAAGTCGAGAGAGAGAGAGATAGATAAAAAGGAAAAGAAAATAGCACTACAATCGACTAATGTTGTACCAAAAAAGGAAATCATTTTACAGTGATGTGAACCTTTCACGCGTGCATGGTACGCTGACACGTGGGAAGTGTTTGCGTGACCAACAGGGTGGTCAGAAGAGTCAGAACAAGTGAGGTCAGGGTCAAGCTGAGGCGGAGGTTGAAGCAGGAGTGTGGAATATGGCTCGCGCAAGGGACTGAGCCCATGGCTCACGTGAATGATGGACCCTAACTTTCTCTTCTTTTCATGCTACAGCTTTTGAATTGTTGACCACTCTCCTTTGAATGTGGTTGGGCCTTTTCTAGGTTTCATCTACGTAGAGGGCTTCTAGGTGGGCTTAAGAAGTTCATATTTGAGCATACAATGGAAAGTGGGTAGGGCCCGCTGAAGTTTTATCAGGCCCACCTTAGTCATGGACCAGATGCTGGGCTTGCCCTTTAAAGGGGTTTCTATCGTTGTTGTGTTTGCTGAATGCTTTAAATTAAATAAAAAGATAATGGGAACCTTTCCCCTTTTGGCAATGTTTTAGTGGGGCGGTCAACAGTCACACCCATGTCATCTTCAGTACGTAACAGTTTATACTCACATCAACCACACCTTAAATAATGTTTAAACAGTGATTATGCTGAGTACTGACTCTAATAAAGCAAACAAAAGCTTTAGCCTATATCTAAGCTAAGAAACAGCTTTAATTCCTTTCACATTTGGCTATGTTCAACCCCCTTTCTAGAAAGTTACCAACCGACAATACGAATATTAAAAGGTTAATATTTGTGCAGTTAAAAGTTAATCTCTGAAGATCTTAATCACAATACATAGCCATTGAAGGACATCAATTTGTGATGACACCTTTTGGATGCTTATAAACAAAATTTTGCAATGTAAAGAATTAAAGGGTAATAATTGTTTTCCCTTCACTGCTTTATGTTATTCGAGATAGTACTATTTTTAAATTATAGCTTAACAAACGGTAATCATGATTTGGAACACCTGTTTGTTGCTAATTTGGACGAAACATTAAAAAAATTGTCAATTCCTTACTCCCAAAACTTTCCGCAAAGCAGATAGACAGTGGCGGTGCTAATGTAAATCAAGAGAACTAGTTATTACAAATGATAATCATCATAACCTATTAAGAGACTCAAGTCACTGAATCCAATTACATACAAATGCAAAATTCTTTACTATCTAAAACATTGAATTTAATCACATATAGAAAACTACAACACTAGACTTTCTTTTTATTTGATCTGTGACGATCAACCCAACCAAAAAGACAGCTGATTTTCAAATGCATAATGAATTAGCCAAAAAGTAATGCACTGATTAGAACATATAGTCTATGAATTAATAAAAAAAACCATACTATATGTTCCTATTTTTGTTTTTGCTAACTCTCAGTTAAGGTTAAGAGAGTTGCACAACACAGCAATGGCTACAAAGCTCTTTCTCACTCTCCAATTCCATTGGTTCAAGGCTCCTCCAAGCATCTCTGGTGGCTGAAGTGTCAAACATGTGAACAACAGACATTGTTCTTGCTACTTCCCCACCTATCTTATAACCTGCCAAGAAAAACAAGAGAGTCCCAATTGGTGCCATAGTTAGGTACAATCGTTGATCATTAGGACGCCAATTCTCATAGTTGTCCTCAAATGTGGAAAGACATTGCTTATGTGACCCATCAACTTCATTCCAAAGTTTGCCATCATAAGCCTCAATGTGTCCCTTCCATGCATTCAAACAATCACCTGAGCTAAAAAGAGTGCCATTCACTGCCACTATTTGATTAGGTGGCACATCTAATTGCCACATCCCAGCTATGAGATCCCACTTCCCTGCTTGCGTGTCATACATCTCAGCTGAGCTACGTTCCACTATGCTTGGCATTGTTTTATCCGAATCTTCTCTTTCAGCAAAACCCCCCACAATGTATACTTTTCCTTGCCACGTCACGCCTATGCATTTGTACCTTAAAATATGCAAATTTGGCAAAGGGGTCCACGTGTCAAGATCAGGGTCATACAACTCAGCGGATGAGATCCCACGTGCACTTGCCAGCGTGGACTTCCCCCCTGCCACGTATATTTTGTTGTCACAAACGGTGCAAGCAAAATCATATCTTGCCACACCTAGTGGTGCACAATTGAACCATTGGTTGGTTCTTATGTTGTAACGGAGAACCGTTGGTACAACTTGGATACCCTTATCAAGGTAGTCAGCAGATTCATCAGATACATGAACCATTTCTTTGTGGCAAATTTGGCCACCAATTATATAAATAAAGTCTCCTAGTGAGACCATAGAAAACCCCTTTAGGACTTGGTCATCAATTAGGCCAGGAATAGGGCCAATATAGGTCCATGTGTTGATGGATGGGTTATAGAGCTCAATTGAATTAGGGAGCCTCACACCTGGGCTTGGTTCTCTAGGACAAAACACAGCAACCACTACAAAATTGGATAGAAAATTTTCTGGGGATGGTGATGATGAAGCTGTTGGTCTGGTTGGAGAAGGGAGTGAACCCATTGGATTTTTTGGGTGATTATGCTAGTTAGTACTATTTCTAAGTTTTGTGTCAATGGGAAATGTAATAATATAAAGGAGAGTCAGTGATATAGAGAAAGGTGACGGAGAAAACTAGATTGGGTTGGCTTTGGTGCTTCCACTAGGAAGAACACGTGGAGCTGAAATCAAAGGATTTTCTTGTGATAACAGACCGAATTTTTGGTGGTTATTGCATTGTTATGTCCTTTTTTTTTCTTTTTTGGTTAGAAAATGGGATAAAGTTGGTTATTTTCCGGATTTTCCAAGGTCTAATTAGGTAGTAAACAAAGGGTGCGAACAAAATTTTATTAGATTAATCTCTCTATCTGGCGTGGTTTTTTAGGTTAAAGACTTATTTGGATAGAATGTGTTTTCTCTTTTGGTAGCAGCACGGCAAAATGTGGAAGAGACTTTGTCAAATTTAGCTAAACAATGTTGTGTAGTTTCAATTACACTCTACTTTTTCTTAATCGAACTAACATATCACTTTGATTTTTCCAACAGTGCTGGGGTTTCTCTAATTAGAAATGTGAATTAAATGATGATCATGAGTATATCAAATGTTTTATATGCGCAAGGTTTTATAGCTTTTTGTTTTATAATGATATAGGAATATTACTTTTTAAATCTAAAGTTGTTATTTATTGGGAAAAAAGAGTGATGAAAAAAGGTATAGGTTGAACACTTGAATTAAAAGGAACACAAAAGGATACTGAAATAATAACCTCTTGCTTCAACCAAAAAAGGGATAAGAAAATAAAAAACAATGGCATCTTGTTGGCTATGTGCCAAACATAAAGAAACAAAAAAGAGATAGATAAATCCAAGGGAAACACGCAGGGAAAGCATCTAAAAAGATTGTAACATGGAAGCAAATCTAAACGAGATACTAGTGTAGTACTGAATGATACATGAAATGTGGGATCCGTGATGCTTTTTATCTCATTAAGCAACACTAGTTCGGCTATAAGCATAGGTGTGCTTATCAAAAAATGGCCCTTTGTTTTTTATATGATATGTTTGGGATTAATAATACTGCATGCTATTGCAATCTCGCACCTTTATCTGCTTTTCACCTTTGAAGATTTGGCGTACCATGATTGATATTAGTTTAATGTCATCCACAACAAACAAAGCAACAACCATGTCATGTGATTATAAACTAAACAAAATAAAGCATGGCACCTTATGAATGAAATATGAATTGCCCATGAGGCCATTAATAGCACTACACTCCAACATGTGTTGCCCATTACACATCTAACGTATTGCCCACATGACTCGCCGCTTGACATTTATGACTGTTCAATGTGCAATGCAATATTTTTTTGAATAATGTTAACTAATGTCTTAAATATATCCATTAAAAGTTAAAATTTATTGTAAAAGAGTAATGTTTAATACGATTGATACAATTTTTAATAAAAAATGGTCCATTAATTTTTAATCAGTGTTCTTAAAATAACATGTACTGTGTTTCACGTTTACATGTCATGTTCTGTAAATTTTGGGTATTCATGATGGCTTATTGGATTTTTGCCTGTCTAAAACTTTCAAGTCCAGGGCCCATTTGGATAGAATCAATTGGACTATGATGACAGAGAAGCGTGGCGATTGTAACTACATGAAGCTGCACTCTGAAATTAACTATTTGACCAAAAGAGGCAATAAGGAAAGCAACAATACCCACATTGTAATGTTAATATCAATACGGAGGAAACCCCTCGTTTGTTCAATTTTTGGGAACTTGCTCCAAAAATGCACGATGATGACTAATTGCTGGTTCAGAATACTGTCAAAGATTCAAAAATCATTCAAAGCAACAAGGATGACAAAGACATAGTGACAGCAAGCACTTTGTTGGCTAGTCAAAGATTGTCAAAACGAATGGCCATAAAAAGGAATTAACATTTTAAAAGGGCATGCATAAGAAGAAGCCGTTGTTGTGTGGGTTTGGTTCAATTTTAAGGCTTGTGAGTGGGCACTTGATCACCTAGCACTATCTCAACTCAAACTGGGGAATCAAACCTAACATAAAGTCCAGCTATGACTGATAGGGATGGGAAGCATAATGAATGAGAATCACTGAGTTGACAGTTGTGAGTGTTTTCTATTTTATGAAGGTAACTAATTGGTCCAGCATGTGGATTCAATGTGGATACTAACACTAGTTCTCTATTTGCAGCCTGTGATCATAGGAAGAATGGTACAAAGTGTGGGGACACATTTGAAGGACCATACCAAATGGTTAATGAAAGTCTTACTTAGTGGAAAAATTTGATAAAAAAATTGAATTTTGACATATTTGAAGTTGTAAGAGACAGGGACTTTGCATAGGGTGCCAAGGGTTGGTGTGTTGGCTAGAATGACAAGTCACCAAAAGGGTATACCCTTAACCCCTCAGTGGGGACAGAAGAAGCAGAGACACGAGGATAAGAGGTGCAGAATGAGACAAGAGGGAATTTAATCAGGATATGTGGTGTGGTGAGTATAAAGTGAAAGTCAAAAAAGACTTTAGAGAAGAAGACAAAAAGTGAGAGAATCAGATGTGGTGGCAGAAGGTATTCAGAGAAAGCCACATGGTTTCTGGTTTGGCTTGTGCGGGAGACAAAGCAGTTAGGAGCAAAAAGGCAACTTTGATTTGATTGATCACCATTTAGTTTCATCACCCACTTGGTAGTTTTTCCTCTTGCCAAGTCCCTTTCTTTTTATCTTCCTCCCTTTTTCTCTAATACAAACACCCAATCAATGGATTCTGCTTTGACTAGTGTAAGTGTAGTTAATTAGTTTTGTTGCCATGGGAATTAGACTATAAGGGGTAAGTAAATGATTTGCTTCCGCTGTGATTAACTTCCAGGATTAACTCTAATCACAAGTGACATGCCACACTTCCTTGCTAAATATTTTTTATACCTTCATCCAATTTTTTTGTTTTGTTTAAAACAATCAACAGAGAAATACACACACACACACACATATATATATATATATATAAATTAATTTTAAATAATCTTACAATTAAAACTTAAATATTATAAGTTAAGCTGAAATAACTTCAACGAATTGGTCCATATGCTTGGTAATTTATACTTAATTTTAAACTATCATTTGTTTTTAATATTCAATCATTATAAATTTTACATGTATTTAAAAATTACTTAAAACTAAAAGAAATTATTGTTTTAGAAGTTTAATTATAAATTTACGGTTTTTTACATTTAATATGTAGCACGTTCTTGTCTATCTTTACATTGACAAATATTTGATCTTTTATAAATTTGGTATAAAATACAAAATAAATTTATTCGTGTTATTTTTATTTTAAAATACATAAATTTTTGGTGTTATAAATTTAAAATTTAAAAACATATTATTATTAATCATAAAGATATAAATAAATAAAATGAAAAATCATAAAACACCTTACCAACCCTTCCAGCACAACCTAGAAAGCTGACTTTGCATTTTTGGTGGACCTGACTGCTTGTGGCAGTTATAATTTATTGTTTGGCCTGAGGGTGGATAAAAATTATTTTGTTTTTCAATTTATGGACCTTAAATTTTAATTATTATAGTTATTTACGCTCGGTTTGAATTTTATTGCACAAGATTTCAATGGTGAAGTTCCTAATTATATTTATGAAAAAATTGATCCTATAATTGAGTAAAGACGCAAAAGAGAAAATGGGAAATATTTGGGGCATGGATGCAGCTCTTATTCCCCAGATTTTGAACGTTTAAGACATTAATCGAACAAAAAAGAAGATAATGTAATCCGCTAGGATAGGTCCTGGAATGAAGGAAGGTGAGAGAATGATTTAGTTAAGAAAAAAGTGGAAGAAAGAATAGAGAGAGAGAGAGATTGAAGGGATAAACTCAAATTCGTTATACTATCAAAACAACATTCTGAAGTGCGATAGAGAAAGGACCTTATTAGACTTTGAGGCGCTCTGCCCACTGCAACTGCAACCCCTACTATACCCCACCATTCTGTAATCTACACAAGATGGAATTTTAGCATCCCTAAGTCACTACTATTCCTATTCCTATTCATATAGATAACTGTGTGCACATTGCACCCGAGTAAGTCTGCGCAGCTTCTTTGGAACACCAAAAAGATTACCTTTTGTCATCTGCTTTTCCATTCCGGTGTTTCTTCTTCTCCAACCCCCACCACCAACACCAAAAAGCTTCAACCTTTTCAACCATATAAAGTGCCTTATCAAAACACCATGCTAGCTTCTCTGTCTCTTCCATTTCCATTATAAATATCCACCATTGCATTTCACCTTCTTCTTCTTGTCTTAGAGCAAATTGCTTCAGGCTTTCCCCTATTTAGTCAACATGGGTTTGTTGGAGAGCTTGGAATGGGTGAATGCTTACGGAAAGAAGCGTTGTAGGAGCATGTTTTGGAGGATGCGAGCTGCACTCAAGAAGGCTTTGAAGAATGGAGGCAAGCAGCAGCACAAGTTTCAATACGACCCTTCAAGTTACGCACTCAACTTTGATGATGGCTGTTGCCATTTTAGAGATGCCGCCAAGAAATTCATTGGAGATGCAAGAGTCCTCGAGCTCACAGACATGGGAAACACCACTTGGGTTTACGTGCTTTGGGTCAAAACCAAGTAACTTGCCTATTAATTTTTCTCATGTTTGGTTTTTAACCATTTAACGTTCTTTCTATGTTTCTGGGTTCGTTGATAAGAGAAGTATTGCAGAGTTTTTCGAGGAATTGGTTCTCTTCCCTTGCGTACTGTATATTCTTGTATTCTGTTGTAGAACACTCGTTAGTTTACATTTTAAATTAATGTCTAGAGCAAAAACACGACGCGAGTCTAAATGATAAAAGTTGGCTAAAATAATTTGTAGCTCACACTGTTTAGAAACGACGTTAAATTGCTCTCCGAAGAAAGCATGCACGCGTTTTCTACATCTTTTGCCAGAGAATTCTGTGTCTCATTAATGAAACACAGCAGCGAAGTGAATATAGGTATAGGTGGCAACGGTCCCCGGTAATCGAAAATTAATGATAAGGTCAGCTGTGGGCTAACTTATACTATCATCATGATAAACCTTAATAAACAGAAAGCCGTAACAATCGGTTACTTAAGAAAAGAATTAATGACTGTATTGACAATCTTTTTGTACAAGGGTATAAAACCACTGGAACAGCTATCTAGGAGGAAATGGATATCAATTTCAACAAATATCTTTCCATTTAAAGTACATACACAATTTTTAATGCCAATGACCGCAATATCATCATCTAGAACCTAAAAAAGCCTCAAACTGAAATTGAAATGTTACAAGTATTCAGACAGTAGGATCTTCTAATATAGCTGTGGATAGATCACTTATACGAGGATAAGCAGCTTTCTCATCCAGCTGGTTTTGGGCCCATATCAGCATCTTCAACAAGCTCGGAAGTTTTGGGTCTGCCAAAAATTCGATCAATGTTACTGAATTCTGGAGCACAGCATTGGTAATTTTTTTCAGATATTAACTAGAACACATAGCAGAGCAAGTTGAAGTTTTCTTTTTTCTTTTTGTCATAGTTGAATTTTTCTAACAGTTAAGAAATAACAAGCTATACTACTAGAACATAATAGAAATACAAAAACTAGGGCAACGAGAGCCCAGTTGGCAAAAGTGCGCAAGAAGAACCAACATCAGTCATTTAAGCATCCATGCATATATACTCATTACTTTGAACGCAATTTTTTCATCTCAGAATCGCTATCACCCTCAAATCAAACATCATTACACTTCATCAGCCTTGTGTTAAGCATGAACAAAATTATTTTTATAATTTTATAATTTGATATTTAGAAACTCTAAGAAAAAATAAAACAAATATGTCAATAATCAAATATGCCAAACTAGATTTAAAACCAGAGCCACATATGCACAGAAACAGATTTTTGCAGCAAACACACCTTTTTCGTGGCTCTGGCTTGTAAGTATAGCCGCATTCACCTCACTTGCTGTCTTTAAACGCTGTGATATATCCAGCAGCTCTCCAACAGGACAGTTAGAGACATCTTCAAAGGCAAGCAGTGCAACAGTCCTCTCCAACTCTTCCAAAAAGCTTTGCTGGAATCCAAATTTTACTCAAGTGTTAGAACTAAGTATGTGCAACAAATTACAAAAAAAATTCCTACAGTAACAATTTATTTTCCCATTTTGTATTTTCCTAATTACAAGCAATTGAAGTAAATTAATAATGCAAACAATTAACTGATTAATGAAAAGGCCGGCAATACTTCACTACATGACAAAAAGAGATACAAAAATCATTAGCTGACATTTACATTTTCCTCTCCCCTCGGAGCAAGCTCCTCCTGGGCAAACTCTAGTGCTTCTTCTACTTTTCCATTTCGGATTAGTTCTATAAGCCGTTGCTGTTGAAGATGGAAAAATAATTGGGGATTCGTGTCCAGTATCTGCAGTATTATAAAATGAATATTAAGTTTATAGAACAAATGAACAAGACACTGATGAATGGGTAACACTATTTTTATGCAAGTCACATTACCTTTGTTTAAGGTTATCAACCCACGATTTTGAATCACTAATTGCTGAGCTAATTCTTGAATAGTGAATCATAAATCATATCATGTCATACGATTCATAGACACAATGAAAAATAGCTTAAAATATAATCCCTTTGATCCTTTTTTATAAAGTACCTTCAACTCAATTACACAAACCAATAAAAATAACTAAAGTTAATTGATTTTCTTGAGTTTTTGAAAATTAATTATAACATGACAATTTTATCCTCATTTAGTACAATTATGCTAGACCTCACTATCAACATTTACTCTTGTAGATTTTAATTTAGGTCCCATCAACTTTATTTATTAAGAGTCAATGAGAAAAACATAATGAATTGTTTTATAAAAGAATTATTAAAAGGGAGTATCATATAAATGAAGGATAGTGCATTCATGTCCAATGTAATAATTTCAAACTATAAATTGAGAAAACATCTTAAATATAGGCCTCAAAACAAAATCCTGTCATAACTAAATGTGCAAAACCTCTGTTAGAATAATGAAAACAAAATAATGGAACAGTAAAACAAAGTGTATAAAAATTATTGAGTGATGGTGTGCAAACCATTTTAAAACAGTGAAAAGAAAAGCCAAGGAATAATAAAATAGGGTGCATTGTGGAGTTTCTCCCCCAATCCTTTTCATTTATCAATTTAAGCTTATTTGACTTTTTTGATTTCTTTGATGAAAAATTGGTGAAAAATAAAGGAAAAAAAGGAAAAGAACAATGAATCACTGAATCATGCACTATTTATCGGTGACCAGAATCAGTCATTCATGTATCATATGATTCAAAGTCATGCAATTTATCACAAAATACAAATTAATGGCTAGCCAAATTGCACGATTTGAATTGCAACTCAGCAATTCTAAGCATATGGTATTAAGCAAGAGAGGATAATTGGGAGATGCATGATAACCAAATAAAATAGACTGCAGCGTGTTCTATCTAAATTCTGCATGCATTCCCAAAAGCTTTTTCTAAAAAAATAAAATTGAAGCAAAATATAAGCATTTAGTGTATAAGACAAATAATCTGTGCCATTATCAACATCGACTACACTGCATCATCACTACATGTGTGAATACCCTAGGGAAGTGCATGTTTAACTATCCAGCCGGTAAGAAACAAATATATTATTGACCACATTCATGAATGCTGTATTATGTGCATTGCACACTAAAAGTAAAAAGGAGACCAAGATAAGACTTAGGGATGGGAAGTTAGTAAAAAGGAAACAAAAAAGGGAAGCCTACCTCTGGATTTAAGTCATTCACTTTTTCAATTGCATCCTCAACATTACCACTTTGTACTGCCTTTTTAACAGCCATGCGATCTGTGATTGTAGCAAGATCTATGTCTGCTGTAGATAAATAAGGATAAACGTAGCTTGATAAAGAAGATATCTTGCACAGATACACACAGAGAGAAACTAAATAAATAAAAGAATCAAAAGAGGATACGTTCAGTTCCAGATTCCATTCGGAATTTCTCAGCAGCTTCAACATAGCCTTCAGTGACAAGGAAATTCATTACCAATTTATTCATGTCTTCTTTCCTAATCTTTACATCATTAAGCTTCTTCTCCCACTCTTCTCTTGTTATCACTTTCTTTGATGCAGCCTTTACACAGATAATTTTCAAGTATAAAAATCATTAGTACGTTAGTGCCATGGCATACATCAGAGCTACTTTTCTTCGATTCAGTATGCAGAACAATGTCCACAATCAGTCCATACATAAAATACTTCCAGCAAAACACTAAAATTGACTCCGTATACGTCACCACACTTCCCTCCATCACTTTGTTTTGTAACACAGTAACATGTAAGAAAATAACCACCTTGCAAGCTAAATTGATCTCCTCCCACAGCAATTCTAGAAATTAAGATTCCATAAGCAAACCATCAATAGTTCAATACAATATGAACGACTCCTCCTATATATGCAAGGTGCCGGTGAAAATGTAGGAGAAACTAACCCACAGAAAAGAACATATCTGAACTATCATTCCGAGATTCATGGAAATGGAACGCAGGAAAGAAAATCAGGAGCACTTAAATTAGCACAAACTACAGATCCTTATCACCACCGACATAAAAAATATTAATAACGAAATACGTATAAACAAGAGAAGTAAGATAAAAAGATAGTAAGAGAAAGTCAAATACCATTGCCTCGATTTCTGCAAGCTGGCGAATCACGATCCAGAACAATGACATCAGTGCATCAACTTAAACCCCATTCCAACCCTAAACGACGCACGACGTCCTTCACCTGAAAATCCGAACAAAGGCACCGAAACTGCAGGTGGCAAATCAGCACCCACAATTCAAATCAAAACAGTCACATTTCAAATTACAACATCCTTCCAATCACTAATTTTAAAAACAAAACGAAAGTAATAAAAACCCTATTAACAGAAGGGGAAAGTAAAATCCACATGTGAGGGTGTGAAAAGAGTAGGAAATGAAATCACCAGAAAATAGTTTCGAAGAAATTGAAGTTGCTATTTTCCGGGAAAGTGGTGACTGGAAACGATGGAGGTGAATGCTTATAGCTTCGTCTTCGGAGGGTGCTGGCGATCCCTTTCTTTCAACTTCTTGAATCGTAATTTCTGGACTTGCGCTTCAACGTGATATTTTGCCTTGCTTCCTCCTTGGGTTCGGATCTGCTTCGTTTTCCATCGCTTCTCATACCTGGGCCAGGTCTCGATTTAGGCTGAACAGGCCCAATGAAAAACAAAGCCCAATGTTCAAATTCTGTATATATTTAATTCTTAAATTTCACTCTTTAACTTTCTACCCCTTAGTACATTTATCTTTTTTTTAAATTTCTGATTATAACAATGAGAGTAAAACTAATAATAATAAAATGACTTATATTTATTGGGTAGTATGCTTTTATCCATAACTCTGATACTTGGATGGGAACTTTAAGCACATTTGTCTTTGGGGTTAAACACATTTAATGTGTATGAATAATTATTTAAGTAGGAAAAGAGAAAGAACACGTAATGCAAGCAAGTCTTTTGTTTGCATGATGGTACCAGCTATAAAGGTCATCATTGATTTAATTACTTTATTTTTAAAAATTTTATTGATCGATGAATTATATAAATTGTGTTCTGGTGCAAAATTTACGGTTTTTCTTAAGTAACATTTTTGTAATGGAAGGTGATTCTTTTCTATAAAATTTGTTCATATATATAATTTTTTTTTTAAAAAATAATTATAGCATTCCTGAACAAAATTTAGTAGTTTGCATAGAGTAAACTTGACCAACTATAGTTGTTATTTTTTTAAAAGTGTTAATAACTATTTTGAATATGAGTTTAAATAGCTTCTTCTCTTTTTTTATTTTATTTTATATATTAAGTACATTTTTTTGACAAATGACATCTTTATTAATTTTTTACTATCTCTCCGCTTACTAAGTGAAACATAAAAATAAATTTATTATTTTAAATATTTTTCACATAAAAAAGGGAGTTTAACAAACAACAATTAGAATATTTTTATAATAATAAATAACTCTCCCAAAATAGTTATTAAAATTTTATTTTTAAGTTAACTCCATATATATATATATATATATATATATATATATATATATATTCAAACTTGTTGAAATTATGATATCTTAAGTCATTGAAGAGTTAATTATATACTCTTCATTTTAATTTTCTTAAGGACTAAAAATAAAAAATATAGAAATTAACTTTTAATATTAAGAAATTAATCTTACAAATACGATAACATGTTAAAATTAAATTTAAAAAATTATAATTATTTTAATTAATGATTGTACATATTAGTTTTTTATTTATTTAAATTGACATGTTAAATCTTTCATATATTAAGCCGTCAGATAGTTAAGCTGATCATTTTCAAAGGAGAGTAATACTAGCAAGTATATTAGGTCGTCAAGTAATATAGTAAAATAAGAAATTGCTGTACTCATAGGGATAATTCAAGTAATGATTCTAATAAATTAGATGATAAGTTGAACAATTAAAAAGAGATGATAATGAAAGGAATAAAGACTAAAATGTTGAATAATAGAAAAGTAATATAAGATTTGATGTAATTAGATGTTAGGATGATTTACTTCAACTATGTGTTAACAAAATGCAACATAAACATCAATATGCATTGTCTAAATTTAACTAAACAGTGGTAGGGTCATCATGTCATTAAAGTTTATCTCGAGATCATTCAATGTCACTCAAGCAAAATAAAGCACCTAATATCTTAGCATACTCAAGTCTACAACAAACTCTCAAATCCTTGAATACTCATGAATCATGTTTGTTTATCTTTAAGTGTCATTCAACTTATAGCATTGTATTCTTAAGCATGACTTTTATTCATTTTCTCAAATTTGTAAAAATTCCTATCATCCTAAATTGGTGATCAAACAATTCAAAATAAATAAGGTCCAATGCAATGCTCACTATTAAATGAGAACAAGATATAATTTTATTCACAATAACATATTATCAAACACAACCTCTATAAATTACTCTTAGCAAAAGATTTAGTTACAAGTCATGAAAAATAGCTTACAATGGACCAAATTGAAACAAGAAGAACCCATGAACAGAGAAAAATACACAAAAAGTTGAAGAACAATCCCATGAGAGGTCTTTCTTTCAAGCTCTTAAAGTTTCAATCCCCTTGCTCCTAAGCTCCAAGTTTTTTGTCTCTTTCTTGCTTTCAATTTTTTATCCTCCTCGCTTCTGACGGCTAACACTTTTTCTTAGATTTTTGTGTCAATTATGAGTTATTAGGATCAATACAGAGGCCCAGTCCCACATATCAGATTCATGCACCCACGCTCTAGTGTGACTTAAATTTTAGATCCCACATCCAATTTCCTTAATTCTTTTTCCAAAAAGCTACAAAACCAATAAAAAACATTACTAAAATGCAAGGTTAAATGTGAATGTAATCATGCAAGAATTTAAACTTGATAATATAAAAAGAGGAACCTAAATAACTAAAACTTGTTAAATATCCATAAACTAAAAGTTCTAAGAAATCTTAATAAAAAATATAACTCATGTGGTAGTTATCATAAATCGTTGTTGTTTATAGTCATCTAAAAATTGTTAACCTTTTTTTGTTAAATGACATGAAAATACTAAAACAACATTATTTTACACCTCCTATACTCTCTCTCTGCCTTTCTCCTCAGAGTCACGTTGCTCACGGTGGTCAATGCCCCCTAAGTTCCCACCACTTCTCTCTCTTTACCCATCTCCTTGTAACTCAATCTCTCACAATGGTCTACAATTTTGTCCTACAACCTCCTCTCTTATAAGGACACCAACATAAATGCAATAACGAATAACACAACAAATTAAGTTCTTCAACTTACAAGAATCTACGAGGAGTAACAACAAATAAAATGTAAACACCAAGTTGTTTAATGTGAAAAATGTCCTAGGGTAAAAATCACCAGTTATCTAGATCAAAAAATTAACTCCACTATGATCAAATAAGGTACAACAGAGTCACAAATAAGCGCACAAACCATGCTTACAACAACTAGTCAATCAAACCCAACAACAAAGCTTACAAAATTAAGAAACAAAAAGTTGAAAACATCAAGAAAATAGAGCAACTAATTAATCACACCATAAACTTCTTTTGAACGATTTAGCCATTAAAAACAAAGAACCACATATATTTAAACTACTATCAAATTTTTAGATCAATCTAATGATGAACAACTTTGAAAATGCAGATTTATCAAAACTACTCTTAGTGTGAGAATGATATTCTCTCTTCTTCTCTCATAAAGTTGACTGCTCTCTCACTCTAACGACCTCTCTCATACAACTCTAGAGACTCATCTCTACTTTGGTAAGTGAGGCAAAGTAAACTTGCTCATTTTGAACCATTTCTCCACACAGAATAAGAGTCATATACCCAACACACTCTCTTGCTCTTGTTCCCATTCTCTTCCTTAACCACCATCAAAATTCAAAACATATGAATTTCATCTAATTGTTAAGAGCTTGCAGTTACAAGCTAAAGACGCTTTCCTGTCATCCTCTTTAACCTGCAATTGTAGGTTATTTTTGCCAAAATATGATAAAATTTTAAAAAATTATGAAAATAGGGTATCCATGAAACATCTTCTTTGTTCAAGGTATTTTTTTGTCACATCATTTTAAGTATAATCTCTTATAGGGTCAACACTCATTTTTTTAATGATAAAAAAAAAGTGTGGTCCACGTAAAAATTGACACTTATTTATTTTTTTATAAAAAAAAAGCGTCATCCAAAAAAAATAAACATCGTACATGTAAAAGTTTATACTTATTTTTTATTATTAAAAAATAACATTTTGTGATTGTGTTAGTGAAATTGTGCAATAATAAAACATAGAGCGTTGTGAAATTCTCATCTTCTTCACTCTTTCACTTTTTTTATTCTTTGTTGGTTATTATTCATTTGGATTCTTTGACATTTTGTGTGTGTGATTGTGTTTCTTGTTCTCTATGGAAATATGTATTGATAAGAATGTTATTTTTTTATTATTAAAAATATAAGTGTCGACTTTTATATGAACAACACTTATTTTTTTATTTTAAAAAATAAGTTTCAGCTCTAAAAAGGAGGAACATATCTTGTGAATACTTTATTTTTTATATATATTTTTTAATTTTTACCATATTTTGGAAAAAACTCTACAATTGTTAAGAGCTTATGAATTGCTTGTCAAAGTCACTTTCCCACCATCCTCCTCCACTCCTTTATCGCAAATTGAATGCACATACCCACTACAAATGAAACACACATATTCAGTGATGAAGCATAATAGGTCTTCTTTTTCCTTAGACATGAATCCATGAACTAACCATTAATTGCCATTGAAGAAATGAAAAGAGAGTTACAATATTAATCCTAGTGTCGTGATTCAAAGAGAAAAAGAGGGGACGAGAGAGGTGACAATGACTTTATGATAGGATGGTGATGTAAGAGATGGAGTTGATGGAGGAGAAGGAGCAAGAGATGATAGGGATAATTATAAATATTGTAGTTAGAGGAAAAAATATTAAATATAAAAATAACTATAATTATGCAAAATTAGTTTAAATAATCCTTTTTTTAGTGTGAAACTACATTATTTTAGTATTTATGTGTTTTTTAATAATAATTTAATATTTTTAGATATTTATTAATTTGAGAGACTTGTCTATCTAACAAGTTTATCATGTAAAAGACTAATTTAAATAAGTGAAACCAATATGTACAATTACTACTATTTAAAGGAATAATTTATGAATTTAATATATATATATATATATTCTTATAATAATTTATTATAACATTTAATCATTCAGGGTACATATAAAATTTTGAAAGGATGATTTATTAAATTGGGAAAGGACCTAGTAATACTATTGTTATACTTCCCGTGATTCAACGTCAAAGGTCCCATGGTCTAGTGGTCAGGACATTGGACTCTGAATCCAGTAACCCGAGTTCAAATCTCGGTGGGACCTTTTTATGTGCGCATATTTACATTCAATGCTAAACAGTGTCAATATTTTAAAAATAAAAATATCAAATACAATTACATTAATTATTCTGAATCTTTGTTCCATTCCAATATTACTAAGTACAAACTAAAAAGATCAAT